CTGTGTGATGAAATGACTTGGATCAAGACAAAAATGACTTTCCTGCGGGAGTCTGTGTCTTTGATCTGTAAACAACTCTTGCCAAAAGGAACCTTCCAGGTCATTTTTCTTGTCACATCCCCAATTGAGAAACCACTCTTGCACACGTTTAATGAGTTTTTCACTGACATGGAAGGCCATGAAGACATCATCTGCATCTGTCCATCCCAGGATAACTTTCAGAAGTGGCAAAATTTTGCAGAGGGGTCATGTGGAAAAGAAACTGTGAACAATTCCTGTGTGGTTGGGATGAAAATGAGTCACATTAATGCAACTCTGCAGCAAGTACAACCCTTTAATTCATGTGCCAGGAAACACTTGCCAGTGTTCGTGAAAGGGACTTGTCTTCTTGAAACACATGAAGAAGAACAGATGTATTCACTGGAAATTCTGACAGTGGATCATTGTGATGAAACAAGCAAAGACTTCATCAGTGAGGAGAAAGCAAACATTGAACACCAATTCTACCGTGGTGGGAGAGTGAACTGGTTGAATTTTTGGCTTGCTGAGCACAAGTATGTTGGAGAGGTCATTGAAAGAGATGCTTATCAAGAAGTTTCCAAACTTCTCCATGAAGCTTTGAAATGGAACACAGATGAAACTCCAGTGAAAAGTATTAACATCTACCATCATCCAGGAAGTGGTGGAAGCACTGTGGCAAGACAAGTGCTGTGGAACAACAGGAAAGATCTGAGGTGTGCAGTTGTGAAGCCCTCATACTCCGCTTCTCTTGTTGCACAACATGCAGTTGAACTAAGAGAGTATGAAGAAAAAGATCCACAGAAGTGTCTTACTGTACTGCTTCTCATTGAAGACTCAGAAAGGGAATACCTTGATGATCTCAGAAATGAACTGGAGGTTGCCGTTGACACAAAAAGAATCCAGTATGGAACTTCATGCTTCATTTTGTTGAGCTGTAGAAGATCCTATAATCCAGAGAGGAAATGCAAGGAGTCTCCATTACAGAATGTGTCCGTCACTCACAAGCTGTCTAACCAAGAGAGGAGAAAGTTTTCTGGAAAACGAGAGGCACTTGAAGAACGATATGAACCCGAATTCATTCTGACTTTCGTTCTGATGAGCGAAGAATTCAATGTTGACTATGTTCAACATTTTGTGGAACATTTGCTTCAAGGCATTGACCGCCAATCTGTTGTTGCTCGCCTCATCCTCTATGTGGCACTGTTGAACACTTATGTTCAAAACTCTTTCATCTCCCAGTCTCATTGTGAAGCCCTGCTTGCTCTAACCATTCACATGGAAAGGTTTCACCAGCATGAGTTTGAGATATCACTTGGCCCCCAGGCTCAACTGGTTTTCTTGCATCTCCGGGATGAGAAGACGCACATTGAATCAATTAGAATCATCCACCCACTTGTTGCCAAGGAAATTCTCCAACAACTTTTAGGGGAACAGACCCAAAGCAGTTCAGCAATGAATTTGCTCTGTGAGAGTGTGCTATTTGAGCACAGATTTGGAAGGGACGAATATTTGTCATTTCTGAGAGCACTTTTCATAAGGAGATCAAGAATAAGCAAAGGAGACAAATATGATAGTTTGTTCTCTCCCCTTATTGACCATGTGCGTGATAAGGAAAAAAGCCCAGCCAAAGCAATTGAGTTGCTCACTGAGGCATTTGAGCGTTTCCATAAAGATCCATTCTTTGCACAACAGCTTGCTCGTCTTCATTATACTTATGAAAAGTTTGAAGAGGCAAAACACTGGGCAGAGACAGCAGCTAAACAGCAGCCAAACAACTCCTACATACTCGACACAAAGGGGCAGGTGTACAGGAAATGGTTCCAAGCTAAATGCAAGGTCATTGACAATGACAATGTGCCAAAGACAGCTCATAATACAGCAGATGCTGTAGAGACCGCACTGAAAGCTCTAGAGTGTTTTCAAGAGTGTGAGAAAGCAGCCAACGCAGACATGGAAAATGTGAACAATTCAGGATTTTTTGCTGAAGTTGAAGTTGGATGCAGTCTTCTCAAACTCATCTCTTCATTGGATGTGTTTGCATACAGAACCAATGGTCATTCAGAGTGTATGAAGTACCTGTTGACAGATTACATTCCAGAGGAAGTTAAAGATGCCTGGGAGCCATTTCATGGGCGTTTGAAAAGACTTCAGAAAACAATGCAAGATGCTTTGGAGTGGATTTCAGAAGACCTGAGTTACTTTCAGACAGACATTGATGGAGATGAGGAAGAGATCCCTGGAAGTCCTGAAGAGAAGATTAGCCAACCACTGACTTGGCTGACAAAAAAATCTTTCGAGTATGGGAAGTACTTCAGTGAAGCCCACTCTTATGCACTTCAGGGGCAATCAATCCCAGCCAATCTAACTCCATTCCAAAAACGCATGATGATCTACCATCTTGGTGGAGGTAACATTACATCGATTCTCTCCAAGCTCACTGACCAGAGAGATGCAGTACGTCTCTTAGAGAGCATACTTTCTCTGTATCCCAGCAATCCATTAAAGGCTAATTTTGGTCAAAGGGATATTGTCAATTACATCACGGCCCACATTTCACTGAACTGCCTGTCTCCAGACACTCAAAAGGTCACTCCTCTGAAAAATCTACAGGCACTTTGTCGTCAGTTCCCATCTGATAAACGTAAATGCCTACCAAGTGCCCTGTTCCTGCTCACCTTGCTGTTCTGGCCAGAAGACAATGACACAAATCATGAGAAAGAAGCCAAATATGAAATTGTGCAAACTGCAGTTGAACACATGGAAAAGGGCTACTCGGCCAAGAAGAAGGACATTCCGCAGAGGAAGAGAAGGATATACACCCATTTCTTTCTGGGAAATGGGAATGGATTGGATAAATTTGTCCACAAGAGAAAGTTTGAAAGGGTCACAAAGGGTATCTCAGTCTCTGAGAAACGCATGAAGTGGTTTAGGGGTGAGGCATGGAAAAAACCAGAGATCGGCAAAATGCTCAAATGTGTTTCTGGATGGACTGAAGATGGGGTGGTGTACCTTGAAGGTCCTCAGAAAAAGAAGTTCAGTGTGGTACCTCTTCATGTACGTTCAGTCCCTCATAGTAATGAAAACATTACCTTCTACCTGGGGTTTACGTTCAGAGGCCCTGTTGCCTGCAACATTGTTGTGAATAAATAGTTTGTCTATGAACAGTGGTCAACATATGGCTGTATGTCAGCTTGTTGAAACAAAGGCCAGGTAAACATCCTATTAACAGCAAAAGATAATGAAAAAAACATTTAAAACACACAATTATGGTAATGACAGATTGTGATGCAAGCAATATTTGTAGGAACAAAGAAAAAACCTATTGAAGCACATGGTATGGTGTCAGTTGAATTGTTCTGTAAGATGTAAGGTACTTAGATTTACATTTATTGTGTCGAAGTTTATCCAAGTACTAAAAAATATTTATGTAGTATGTACGTGGACAATGACATCAAATGTATTTCAAATACATCTTAAGTGAACATCTGTGCTTAGATTTTGCTCATTTGTTTAAATTCAGTGTTGTCTTTTAGAAACGGAATGATGCTTAACAGAATAAAAGCATTAGGTGGCTGTTTGGTACCTCAAATCTGGTGACCAGATTATAATGTTTGACTTGAATGAATGTGAGGGTAGTGAACTTAGTATACCCACAGTTATCTTAAAACTAATGACACAATAATTATACAAAATGAATTGCAAATCATTCTTAAGCACCTCAGCTTTTAGAATTTGTAAAAGCTACTTAAAGTTTACGTTTGCACTATATTATTTTCTTGGTCATTGCATCTGTGTTTTCATGATGAATATTATTAAAGCAGTTGGAGAAGAGCGTGTATACATATTGTAAAAAAAAAAAAAAAATGTCCTAAATATGAAACTTTAACACTTCTGCCTGTTTATTTTTTTTTCCTGTTTTTTTTTTTTCTTTTTTTCACTTTTTTACATTTTGCACAATCTAGCTATATGGGATTTCTTTGTGTTGACATAAAGGAAAATTTTGTACCTGCCAACATTGCTGTTTTGAAACAAGTGTAACACTTGCATTTCCATTCAGTAAACATTGTTTTCTAAACTCTGCTTTAGTCTGTTATTTTTTCATTTCTGAAGAAAAACTGTATCAACATTTAAGAATCTTTGAAATTCTACCAGGAAGTTTCAATAGTTTTTTTGTTAGCAGAAGCGGCGTGACATCAATACAGTGGCTCTTTCACCCAACGTCTTCTACACAGGCTGGTTGCAAAATCACAGCATGTCAGCATCCGATATTCTGGCTTCATCCGGTTCAGCAGAAGGAGGCTGATAAACATCCAGTTGTATTTCTTCTATGGTACATACACAGACATAGACATGGGTATATCTAAATAAGGACATCACACTTGGCACGGTAAATACAACATCATACTCCTATGATGCATCCCACTTCAAGCCTCTTTATAAAAATGGGAGAGTCACAAGGTTTTACAGTATCTATTAGGAGGGTATGGTCTTTTTTGATGTAGAGTCTATCACATTTATTTATTGTATTGTTTATTAGGAACCCCATGTGTCATTAACACATGGCCGCAGCTACTCTACCTCAATGTTAAAGTTAAGATATGATTTGATTGTGTCTTTTAGGTAAAAATCATACTTAAAGCCAGATATCTTACATTTTCTACAAACAAACCCTTATATTTGATTGAACTTAAGACATTATACAAATGTGTCTGCAAAGTATCAAGAACCAAAAAGTGTTAAAGAAGTCCATTTAAAAAATAAAACGATGTAGTTGGATTTATTTCCCGTTAACTTTTCTTAGGATATTACTTCTTTATATACTATTTATGTTATTTTATGTTTGATCTGATATCGACATTGTGTTTTTGTGTTTCTGCTTTTTGTGTAGGCCTAGTGAATTTCTTCTGACCGTATGTAATGAATAGTTGTTGTAAAAAAACTAATAAAGTTTATAAATTAAAAAAAAAAAAAGACAGGCGCGCATGCGCAATATGTCAGCGCCCGTTTAAGGAGTTGTGTTTACTTAATTTTTGTAAGACTAAAGGAGGTGGAGGCTCGTTTTTATTCGTATTATTCAGTGTGTGTTTGTTTGAACACACACCTTGTTTTCTGCCGTGCTCGCACGCAGCTGTTAGTCTTTGTGAAGGGAAATGCTGTTTTATAACACAGTCTGTAAACTGTTCGACAAAGCTACCTGCTAGCTAACAGCTAACCATCCAGCTCCCTCTCAGTCAGAGAAAGTATCCACACAATGAAAAGTTCTGCAAGTTTGAACAAGTCTCATAAAGCGATATTCATTACGGATTTTTAAAAGAGGGTAAAACTGCTTAAAGCTTGCATTGCAGAGTGTATGCTGTAAGCAGGGTAGGGTCATGCTGTCTAACTTCACTGCAGCTGTGCTCCTCACCTTGGCTTTGTTTACATGTTTTTACATCAACCAGATCTGCACTCACAACACCAGACTGGTTAGATCAGTTCATGCCACGCAGAATAAAACCACTGCACATGAAAGACTTGTTAGTGCTGATCCAGTAAGAGCACAAAGCAGTGTAGTGGAGAAGAGGGGGGTCAAACTAAAAACCACTAAAGAGACTGATACTTCCAGAGATGATAAATGCACCATCGCCCCAGAGAGTCGCTTTGACTGTGGTAGGGACAAGCTTCTCAGCCAGACAGAGTGTGAAGAGAGAGGATGCTGCTACGCCCCCCTGCCCAGCTCTGCAGGACCACCTTGGTGCTTCTACCCCGGTTTATACCCTGGCTATAAAATGGGTCCCTTCACTCCCACCACGCGGGGCCAGGCTGCCACCCTCACACGTGACACCCCATCCTATCTCCCCAGAGATATCTCCACGCTACAGCTGGAGGTCATACAAGAGGCTGCAGGCTGCTTACGCCTCACTGTGAGTAAACAATATTCTGATGCCAGAATTTTAAACTTCGATATCATAATAAATCAAACAATGTTGATACAATAGTGAAGATACCTGCTTTGATATCAGGGTGACAAAAATAGAAGTCTTATAGGCACTAAGTTTTTGCAGGTGAAACCCCTGCAAAAAATTCTGCATTTTTTTTGAAGGATGATTTCCTGTCCTGTGCAATTGTCTGAAATAGATGCAGTTTTAGTACTTTTAGGTACTATCAATGTCAGCTTAAACTACAAAAATCAGCAAATCCTTTAACTTTAAAAGCTGGAAGTAGCCATTGGCTGTCAATTTTACTTTAAAAGATATTCAAAATATAGGCCGTGTAAATTTCTTTCAATGAATTGAGTGCTTCTTTGATAAAGTGATTCAGCTCTAATTCTATGCACATCATTTATAAGGAAGTGCTGCTAATCTTTTTTTTTGGGGGGGGGGGGATTTTTTCCCAAGTTAAAGGACCCATCATCTCAGCGATATGAAGTTCAGCTTCCAGTCGATGTTCCTCACAACAGATCTGATACACAGGATGCCCTCTACACTGCTGAATATCAGTCTGAGCCATTCGGCTTCGTAGTGCGACGGAAATCCAACAGAAGAGTGATGTGAGTAGTTCTGTGAGCTTATTCCTACTGTCATGGAGATAATATGTAATACATGGAGATAGTCGTTTCTTTGAAAATACTTTATTCACAAAATATATTTATAGAAATTAAGACAAAACAAGAGGTGCTAAAATCTGTATGATGCATTTTTTACACAGTTACACATTAACACTTATGCACCTCGAAGTAAGGCAGACACTGTACTTGCATCAAAGTGTTTTTGAACTCGGCTGCATAAAGCCGAAGTTTTTGTTGTCAATACAATTGACAAACATGACAGGAAAAGAATATAAGAAATTACTTTCAAAAAATTCAATGCGGGGGCGCGCTGGTGGCGCAATGGTTAGGTCGCGCGTCCCATGTATTGAGGCTCTCGTCTCAAGCGGGAGGCCCGGGTTCGCTTCCACCCGTGGCCTCTTTCCGCATGTCATTCCCCGCTCTCTCTCCCTGGTTTCCAACTCTATCCACTGTCCTATCTCTGCATTAAAGGCACAAAAAGCCCAAAAATAAATCTTAAAAAAATAATAATAATAATTCAATGCAATCCAGTCAAACACTGCTCGGTACAATCCAAGTAGAAAACACATGTTCAATATTCATCCTCCAGAAAGTTTGAACAAGAAGAAGATGTAACAGAACCTAAACAGTAGGTTGTGAAGGTTCACCTAATACAGTCAAATTACTTTTAAAGTCTCAGACATCTTATGTTATCGTATGGCTCCTGAACTTCATGCTGAAATGGTCTGTGGCATGGTGACTGTCTCCTTCTTACTCATCATGAACAGAATGAACACCACAGTCGCTCCACTGCTGTTTGCTGACCAGTACCTGCAGCTGTCCACAGCACTGGCCTCCTCCCTTGTGTCTGGCCTCGGGGAGCATTACACCCCCCTCGTCCTGGATCTTAACTGGACTTCTCTGACTCTCTGGAACCGAGACATGGCACCTCATGTGAGTCTATTGTAGTACTCAAGCCCTTATTTTTCTAAAAACATGTCTGGTCTCTACCGAGCCCATGAAGGCGCAGGTACGAAAAATAAAAAAGCTGTTTGCGAAACCGTAAATATAGCTATTTCTTAATTTTCAACTCTTGTCCCTAGTTGGGCCTTTGAGTAAAGAAACAGAGAAGCAAGTTGTACCCATGGTTTAAGATTTCATGCGCACAGTTTCCAAATTGTGCTCACGGATTTAAGATTTGTGCACATGGATTTGTAAACCGGGCCCACAATTTTGCCAACAATTCCATAAATGGTGAGCACAAATTTGCATTGCTTTGCATTGCAAATTTGTGCATTGATGGCAAATTTGTGAGCATGGATTATAAACCTTTGCACACACTCTAGGAATTTGCAAACCATGGGTATGGATTTATAAACTGTGGGTATGGATTTGCAAACAGTTTTTTAATATTTTCTTACCTACGCCTTTGGGGCTCAAAACATTAAAATAAAATTAAAGAAGGAAGGGATATATTGTTTTGTTAAAATGCTAACAATGCAAAGAGGAGGGGTATCAAGCAGCTATTGCTTTGATTAAAAAGGCCCACCGACCAAAACAACTTCAACATTTTAAATCATGCCATCCCTGAACAGCAGCTTTTATCATTTTGATCCTCTTCCCAGTTTAAAGTGTGTCAACATCAACATGTGTCTTTATCCACAGGCTGACGCTAACCTCTATGGCTCTCACCCGTTCTACATGGTACAAGAGGAGGACGGCTTGGCACACGGAGTTTTCCTTCTCAACAGCAATGCAATCGGTACGAAGCTATCACATAAGACATACACAGATTATTTAATCTTCACACTCCAAACACTTAAATTAAGATATAATAAAATCTGTCTTTGCAGAGGTGATGTTACAGCCGACCCCCGCTCTCACCTGGGTGTCTATCGGTGGAATTCTGGACATGTTGATTTTCTTGGGACCTGACCCTCAAAGTGTTGTACGACAATACCTGCAGGTCATTGGTATGTATTTTAATGGTTATCATTCTGCTTCACATCTGCAGGTAGTAAGAGCAACATTCACCCCAGCATAAGAAACGTGTGGATGTTAAATGTTTTGGATTATCTGTCTGCAGGTTATCCCATGATGCCTCCATACTGGTCACTAGGATTTCACTTGTGTCGTTGGGGTTACACGACCGCTAATACAACCCGGCATGTGGCACAACGGATGCATGATGGCAAATTTCCCATGGTAAACAAACAACTCACAAAGCTCTATCAGATAAAGATCTATAGATGAAGTTCGGAATCAAATCAACGCGTTAAAATATCCTTGACTTTTACAGATATTTGAAGATTAGACTGAATATTTTCTGGCATCATAAACTGCAAGTTTGAGTTAGAATGGCAGTCGAAGGGTTAATCTGGCCCAGAGATCTTGGCCTAAAAATGACAAAAGAAATCCGTTTTGTTTGTTTCAAAAAATCTTGTAAATGATCTAATTTTTAATCTAAATAAATGTTGTCTCCACGTTCTGGCTCATTAACAGCAACAAAGATAGAGGTGAAAACAAGAGTACCAAAAGAAACGAGACAAGCAGGCATCGTAATCTACTCCGCATTAAATCATTTTTCTCTTTCTGAGATTAGATTTCTTACTCTCCACCTACAGGATGTTCAGTGGAATGATCTGGACTACGCAGAGAAGCGTAGGGTCTTCACTTTTGACCGCTGGCGATTTGCAGACCTCCCAGAGATGGTGCAGGAGTTTCACAAGAGAGGCATGAAGTACATCCTCATCCTGGTGAGACATTGAAGTCTAAACCAGCCAACAAACTGATTTTTATTGAAGTAAATATTTGAGCTTCTGAGTAGAAAAGGAAAAACGTAACACTTTATGGTTACATTTGTTATGGGAAAGTGTTATACTCTGAAGGAGCAAAAGAAGACATTACCAGTGTTTGTCCAGTAGATGGCAGTAAAACTGTTCTAACTTGTGACTAAGTCTTGTTCCCTGTTTTGGTTTTTGCACAAGGATCCGGGCATCAGCAGCACGAGCCCCCCAGGAACATACCCACCTTTTGAGGATGGAGTGAAACGTGACGTCTTCATTAAAAATGCTACAGGACACATCCTCATAGGGAAGGTTAGACTTTTCTATGATTGTGTGTTTTTATCTTCTTACTGATGTCAGTGTGAGTGTTTCATCTTTCCCTTGTTGTGTTTGTAGGTCTGGCCGGGCCCAACAGCGTTCCCGGACTTCACCAACCCAGAGACGAGACTCTGGTGGGAGGACTGCATCAGGGATTTTCATTCTAAAGTTCCCGTGGATGGTTTGTGGATTGTGAGTATTTAAAAACACACACAGAACTTGATTATTTAGATAAGATTAATAAGAGATCCGGTATGTCAGGTTTTCAAGTAGCTGTGTGCTTAGTTTGTTCACACCTTGGAGTCAAATAAAGAATGATATAGACTTTGTTTTCCTTCTCCAATGCTGCATCCAGGATATGAATGAACCGTCCAGTTTTGTACAGGGTTCAGTGGAAGGCTGTCCCGACGATGATCTGGAGAACCCGCCCTACACGCCCAGTAAGTCTGCCTCATCAGGGTTGTACATCATTAACAATTAAAAGATGTACAAACACAATAGATTTTAAGCCCTGAGTATACTTCCTGCAGTTTCTTTTTTTTACATGCAGAAATTTGATGAGGGATGAGATATTATATTAAACCCTCTTAGTGCGAGCCTACAGGTGGATGCTGGGGTACGGCTGAAAGCAAGAGCGCAGAACTGGTGCAAGGCAGAGCTGGTAATGACAGAGTAGAGGGAGAGACCGGAAATCTTGCAGCTTAATTAAACCGCTAATTGGGAGGATGTGTTCGTTAGGCGATTGTGGATAACGATGCACGTCAAGTGTGAAATCAGAGCAGCTCTAGTTGTCTGCCTGAAGGAGCTCGCAGGCGTCGCTTCGTTCACAGATTCAAAGTAGAAAATGAGCATCTTTGTAACAGATACAAAAAATATATCCAAATTTTAAAACTAACTTTTCTACATTGTACAAATGTTATTATTATTTTTAGATGTATCATTGGCCTTTTTGTGTTTTTTTGGAGAGACAGGACAGTGGATCAAGTTAGAAATCCAAGAGAGAGAATGTGGGGAATGACATGCGGGAAAGTAACCACAGGTCGGATTCAAACCTGGGCCGTCCACTTCGAGGGACTACAGCCTCTGTACATGAGGCGTGCAAGCTAACCACTCGGCCTGCGGCCCCCCCGAGATTAATTTTTTTAACTTAAATACAGATTCCTTAAAAACTGAGAACTAACAGTGATTGCACTTTCTAAGTTCCCGCCTCTGATTTTACATTTATGAATATAATGTGCAGGATTTCCTTCATGTTGCATTAAGTTACAGCCCGTGTCTCTCTGTTGTACAAACAGGGGTGGTTGGAGGCCAGCTGAACTCAAAAACTCTTTGCATGTCAGCTCAGCAGAAGCTGTCCACACATTACAACCTCCACAACATGTACGGGCTGACCGAAGCTTCTGCCACTCACAGGTCACATTCATTCTCTTCTTCTAGTTATATCGGGTTACATTTTTTAAAAATGTTGAACATCAACTTTTTGCCATTGTCAATTTCCTCCTGTGTTGGGAATACTGGAGCTGTGTGTGTGACCCAGGGAATATAACAATTTAATGTTGTTGTTATTTATTAATGATTAAATATACTGTATTAACCCTGTGATTTGCTGCCATCCTCAGTGCGCTTATGAAGATTCGAGGGAAAAGAGCCTTCGTCCTGTCTCGCTCCTCCTTCCCCGGCATCGGACGCTTCTCCGGAGTGTGGACAGGAGACGTCAGGAGTGACTGGGAGCAGCTTCGATACTCCATCCCTGGTGAGGAGACGTGGTTTCTTATTCATGATACAAGGGTCTTTTTTTTCTTAAATTTGATCACAGATATTTGAATTCATTTGATTATTATTTTCATTTTGGGGCTTTTCATGCCTTTATTGGAGAGACTGGTCAGTAGACAGCCATGACTTTAACCTCTGTACATGGGCCACACGCACTAACCACTAGGCTACCGGCGCTCCTGCATGCAATCATTGATGCTTTGCTTGAGTTTTTTCTAGTTTTTCAAATTGAAAGTTTTTGGAACTCTTCATGTAAATCCAGTTTTGGACCAAAGTCCAACATCCAAGTCCAACATCCAAGCCTGAAGTCATACATGTGGGAAACATGTTGTGGAATTAATGTAAGACAAACTAGGAACAAGTTGAAACCCTTTTGATTATTTAATCTTTTTCTAGCAAGTCCATTTGTGTTGGAATAAAAGGATCACACTGACCTTTTCCCCCCTGTGCCCCCCCCCCTCCTCAGCGGTGCTGCAGTTCAGCCTGTTCGGGGTGCCTCTAGTGGGGGCGGACATCTGTGGCTTTGAAGGCAACACCAGCGAGGAGTTGTGTGTGCGATGGATGCAGCTCGGGGCTTTCTACCCATTTATGAGGAACCACAATGACAAACCGAACGCCGTAAGACAGAGTCACTGTGTGTTTGTTTTTCCAGGGCTCTTGCCCCTGGATGTTACATCCACAGCTTCTAGAGCGGCCCGTCTGTTTCATGTATTATGAATCGAGGTAACTCTACACCTTCTCATAGTGTGTTTGTCCCTCAGCCTCAGGAGCCTTATGTGTTTGGGCAGAAGGCCCAGGCAGCCATGCGGGGTGCGTTGAACCTACGTTACTCCCTCCTCCCGTTCCTCTACACACTCTTCCATCACTCTCACTCTTCTGCAGAGACGGTGGCCCAGCCGCTCTTCATGGAGTACGTGTCCTCTTTCCTTATCTCTGTCCTCTGTTCATAGCTTCCATGTGATGTCGCACATGTATTGACCGCCCTGTGGTGTAGTGTAGCATGAAGAAGTGGGTATACTCTAAATCTGTCTCTAAATGTATTTTTTCAAGGGTCAGGTCCAGCAGAGGATAAACAACCTCTGTTATAAACGGTGACATGTAAGGGCGCACTCACAATGAGCAAAGTTGTCCCGTACTGTACTTTAGCATGATTGCCCCCCCTCCCCATTCCCCCGCTGGCCTGCACTCACACTGCTCCAGGATGAACCGGGCCTGAGCACGGTTACCTCTTGAATATCACATTCTAATACAACAGCTGCACGGCTTTACGTGATCATGAAGCGTGCTTATTTTACAAGAAAGACAGACTCAAATTATAATTTTTTTTAAAAATAAAAAGTGACACACTGTCGGGTCAGCGTCCGCACATCAGAGAACAACGCAGAGAACATGACACTACTTTACTGACCGACCATAAACTTGCAGTTTGTCCTAAAGTCTCTTTTTTTATGTGGTTGTCAGGCGATGTAAACAGGTGTCGATTTGAAGAGATGGTACATTAACAAGCCCGTCACAGTGTGATCAATGTCAGCTCTTAAGCTCTTTTTGGCCTCCAGGCCTCCACACCGGTCACGGGACTGAAAGCTATGATTTGTCCCACCAAACGGAAATGATGACTACCACATTCTGTACTTTCCATGACACTTTGTTTTCCTCTGCCCCTTGTGTAACAACCTGTTGCAGGTTTCCCTCTGATCCAAACAGTCAGACTATAGACCGCCAGTTCCTGTGGGGGAGTTCACTTCTCATTAGCCCCGTTTTAGAACAAGGGGCAGTAGAGCTAGCTGCTTACCTTCCTCCTGGAACGTGGTACAGCCTGCACGATGTGAGTCGCTCCACAACTGTTCAATCCATTTCTGTTTGTTTGCTGTTGAAGGCCAATATATGTGAAGCTTTCTGTGCTAACATATGACCGAGGAGTTGGACTGTGTTCCATTGAGGTCTGGTTTTGCTCTCTAGGGTCGGCCTTTCTACAGTAAGGGTCAGTACCTGCTCCTGCCAGCTCCCCTGGACACCATCAACGTCCATGTGAGGGAGGGACACATTATCCCTCAGCAGGTGAGCTTCTCTCCTCTGCAGAAACTCGATACCACCTTTTTTTTTCTGTGTCATGTTTGGTTCAGAGGGGAGACAAAATGTTCTGGATTAATCTTTAATAGAATATTTTACTAGTAGCAAACAGACAACAGACTTTTCGTAGATCCTCATTTCTACTTTCAGTTAGCTAAAGCATGTTTGAAGGTCAAATATTATGCAAAATACACTTTACCATGCTTAGAAAATACTTTTATTCTGAAATGTTGCAGATTACTTTCATTGATAAGCAAAGAGACAGTGACAAGGAGGTTGTGTTTATAAATACGGTTCGGGTTAGCAGCAGCTTTTTATGGATTATTTTGTTTGACACGGATGCCTTTGATCAAATGTTTGCGTCAGGTTGTGTTGATCCACGACGCTGATGACATCTGAGAGTTTAAAAGCAGCTGAAACACTGAAGAGAAGAGTGTGTTTTGATTTCTTTTTCATCTTGCTTCTCTGATCTTCTTATGAAGGAGCCTGCTTTAACAACAACAGCCTCTCGCAGGAACCCTTTCTTCCTGACGGCTGCCCTCTCGGCAGGCGGCTGGGCCCGGGGAGATTTGTTCTGGGACGACGGGGAAAGCCTTGACACCTTCGAAACGGGGAATTATTGTTACATAATTTTCACTGCTGGACAGGTAGGCTTTGTTGTATTTCTTGATGTACGTCGCTTTATACAAAAGCGTCTGCTAAATTAATTGTAGATAGGGGAAGACAAATGATATCAGAACTGGAAAAGCTGATGCGGCCATGTTTTACATTTTACTGCAGCCCTTTTTATTGACCTGATAGTCTCTATAATGGATTTAAGTGTCATTTGTATAAACATTTTTTATCCTTCCCAGTAAGTTGAAACTTTACATTTCTTCTTCAGTCTCAGCTGTTGAGTGATCCTATCAGGCTGAATGGCGCCCTGGACGGTCTGGTATTAGGAGGGCTTCGCGTATTCGGGGTTCCCTCACCACCTCTTTATGTTTTAGCCAACGGGGACAAAGTCAGAGATTTCACCTACCGCACGGACACCAAGGTGAGTCTAGTATGACTTTATTTATTTATTCATACAGTTTAAAGTTACAGGGACAACGCACATTCATCACATTTCTGTAATGTGCCAGATTAGCACTCATGGCTCGTTTTCTACTCTAATCCCTGGGCAGGTGAGTGACAGGACAAAAGACACACATACAGGACACTTAGAAGCAGGGGCAGCAATAGCCTACTTAAAAAATAGAGGAGACTCAACATGTCACCTCAGAGGTTATGAAGGCGTTCTACAGATGAGTTTGTGTGTTGAATCAGCACATCAAAAGCTGATTGACATAAAAACACCTTCATTAAATAGGATAGCTAGGATATATTTGATATCTGCCACATTAATGTTGAATATAATACCTTTTATAAATCCCTTCAACACATTCAGTAATTTAGTTTGATTTGTATTTGGTAGAACGGATGTGTTTATTTTCAATGTTTACATGTTTCTCCTCAATTACTCATCACATCTACTGTTTACTGTCTTTGTGCCACGTCTGAAATATCAACTTGTGTCTGTGTGCCCCCCCTACAGGTCCTGACAGTGAGCAGCCTGGCCTTACCCATGACAAAGGGCTTCACAGTCCAATGGGCTCTCTGATGCACTGAACTTCATTACCCAAAACCCTTTGTGAGCCTTTGCTGGTTTCCCTGCTGCAGAGAACAGCTGCATATTTCTGCCAGCTTTTCTTGCTCAGCCTCTCTGGCTTTTGGATGGTCGTGATTTGGAAACAGCGGCTTATTAAAAAGTTAGATGATACGGGGGGGCCGTCATCCTGATTGACCTTTGTTGCTTTCTGCTACAGAATCCACACTATCTGATTTTTGATGAATTTTTAAGAACTGTAACTTTTAGTATGTTGAATGATGTTAATATTTTTTTTTAATAAAGCTTTTTTCATAGCCAAGTCTTTTATCACATCTATGTTTACCCTACGTCCCCTCCTGCACCTGGAGATCCTGAAATGGGTCCCCACTTTGTTATTCAAAGATCTAAAAAAAAGTATAATTTAGTTTATTATTTGGGCTTTTTATGCCTTTATTTAGAGATAGGACAGTGGATAGAGTCAGAATCAGGGAGAGAGAGAGAGAGAGTGAGGAATGACATGTGTGATAGGAGCAACAGGCCAGATTTGAACCTGGGCTACCTGCTTGTAAGACTATATAGCCTCTGTACCCGGGGCATGCTCACTAACCACTGGGCTACCAGCACCCCCAAAAGCTACATTTTTAAACAAACAGTCTTTACGTTTCAATGCAAATCTGTATGAAGATGTGCCAAGTAAAAATCTTAAATCAAAGGTGAAGTGTAAAAAACACAACCACACAATGACAAAACCACCAAAAAAAACATTTTCTCTATAATTTAATGTCATTTAATTTTTTTTTTTTTTTAACACAATACAGCTTCAATAAGTAAAAGTCTCATTTTTATTTGTAATTCAGTTCATTTAGTTTTTGACATTAAAGCATTAGTTAATCATCAGTTTTTCGTGACGATGATAACCTTGGTGTAAACATAATTAAAAATACGACTGATTTTTATTTTATTTTTTTAAATGCTTGTGGCAAATTATGTATTTCCTAACGTTTGATCCCCTCTTCTAAAGAAAAAGATTGAAAAAGACCTTTATTTAAAAATTGGCACCACAGATTCACCAGCTAGTGGTTTATTGGAGAAAGGAGTCATCTATTGCGTAATGAAAACAGGTTTGTATGGGAGAGGTGAATCCTCCAGCAGCGTCGTGATGTGATGCTCTGACTCCAGCTCTGGTCCTGATGATGGAGAACCAACTGCATGCAAGCTTTTGCCTGTGACCTTTAAAACGTCACTGTGATGAAAAAGGCTCGGATGATGCTCAAGGAAGCCTCGAATAAATTGCTGACTTCCCTTAATGTGAAAAATATTTATGCTTAATAGAAAGCGCAGTCGTGCTTTGATGCGCCATCAGAAAAAAATCCGGGTTTATGTGTGAAATAAATGCCTTTACAACCCGGAAGCGGCGAAATTTAGGGGGATTGGTCCGGAGATGTTTCGTCAAGTTAGCAACACAACTAAGAAGGAAACGGAAGTGGGCGTACAAATTAAAAGCGCCCGAGCCGAATTCTTGTGAAACATAGTTTTACTTTGAAAGTTAAAACTGGAAGTGTACTTCAGCTGTAGAAAGCAGCAGCCAAACGTGTGGTGTCACTGTCGGGAGATCAACACAGGGATACAAACAAGACTACAGCTCCCTGACAGCTGGGATAAATCCAGGGGAAAGGAGGTGAAACGACGCCGGTGCCCGCTGCTCGGTTCCCCCCGCCTGCCCGGTGACATGGATGTCCTACACGGGCTGCAGTAGACTTCTGCTGCGGGACTGAAGGTGAGCCGCTTGGCCCCCTTTTTTCTCCCTCTTCATGCTGCTTGCTATTCATTCATTTTCTCCCGCTTGAACAGGTGTATGCCACGAAATCAAGAAGCAGGGTGCATTCATCCTGCTCAAGCGGTTCAATCTTTGTAATGTGTAGCTTCGCTGCTGTTGGAGAAAACTTTAAAGTTGCCTGCAAACGTGGACGCCGTCAAATGTAACCAGCAAAGGATTTCGGCCATGGTCTTGGAAGCTACACTAAAATATTTATGCTCAAGGTGGTACAGATAGAGTCCCTGCTCGGGCTAACCATGACACAGATGAATAGTACTACAGGGCCTGTGTGTGTGTGTGTGTGTGTGTGTGTGTAAATTGTGCTGTGGTGGCAAAAGCCTGGTCCCATCTTCTCAGCTGTGCTCGCCTCCTGTCAGGCGGATGCTGCCTGTCAGACTGACTGTAACGATGGCTGATGGAGTCCCCGACATCATGGCACGCCTCTGCTGCTGCACTGTTACTACACTGAGGCTTTCCCAGGACAGGAAGAGACCACCTGCAAGAAATCTGCTTCGTTTATTTGTGTGAACATAGAGTTTCACAAATCCCTTCAGTTCACATTTTACTGCACTGTAGAAGAGGACAGGGTTGTTACGATACCAGAATTTTGAACATTTCGATATGATACTTGTTAAAATCAATGATACGGATATCTGTTTTAATTCTACAGCAAAAAAAAAAAATAGCAGTCCTAGGCCCCCAGCATTGGGTTATTTCTTGTTTCCAGTTGTGAAAAATTGCAACTAAACTAAATTGCACAATGCAATGTTTTGATATGTTGCCCATGTCATTGTGCAGCTTATACAGCGTGCAGGAGTTTGCTTGCAATTTGTCACCTCATTCCTCACTCGTCCTCTCCTTCAAACCTTCAAAGAACTTTTTTACTTTGTTTTAATTAGCAATCTTTGCACAGCGCTGCAAGAGACCTGAACTGAATGCTTGCATCTTTTTTAGACTCCAAACAGACTCGAGAAGCAGCAGTATTTTCCAACCGGTGAATTTAAGTTACCCACCGCTGCTCTCTCTCTCTTTATCTCTCTGCAGCTTTTGGTCGAAAAATGACTGAGGATCTATATATATTTTTTTAAAGCTTTGTAAGACCTAAAAAGATTTGATATGTTTAAATCTGTGTCTTTCCATGCATTAGCCTACATTTCTGCACAGACTCTGAGTTGTCCATAAAGTTTCCTCATAACGTCACCAGCCTTTTGTGTTTTCCACATGAACCTTGTTTTTCAGGCTTCTTCGCGCCGCGCTTCCTTTTCACAGCCCGAGGACACATCAGTTTACAGTGCAGACTATAGGTGTTTAGAAAGAATTGGCTTCTCTATTCAAATGTCAGTGTGACAGCTTAATTAATGTCGCCCCGAGGCGAGAAGCTTAGACTCTGAGAGTTTGAAGCTTTTCCATACTGGGGGCTAAATTTTCAAGGTGTAGGTATCTAATACATCTCCTTTTTTTTTTTTGGCACGCAATGCATGACAAGTTTGTCAGTTGCATGTGATCTGCAGGTCGCAGGGAGACCAGGCTGGGTTTAGGATGTGAGTCATTTGATAAAACAGTGAAAGGTCAGAGAGGAGAGGCGGTGTGTGAGCGGGCATGGCGAGGTGTTGACAGCATAAAAGATGAAGCCAGGAGAGATGAGTGTGAGGACAGCCAGACTGAACGACTCCTATCAGCCCGAGCCTGTAATCACACACAGACTGAAATAACCACGGGATGGTCACACGGCAGTCAGTCAGTGTGTTGCTGCTGCTGCTGTGAGTTTGCTGCAAACACATGTGTGTCATGCTGAAGACCCCAGCCTGTCATTATCTGCACATCATGTTGAAGTAGCATGTTTTCAGAGTGTGTGCAGGAATGCAAAGTCACACACCCCGCTAGTCCACTCTTGCTTATTTAGAAGTGGATTAGTTTAGCTCTTTAAGAAGCAGTTAGCATGCAAATAGCCCAGTGACCGCTGATGTTGTGGCTCGTGTGTGGCTCGTGTGTAGACGAGTGTTTGCATGGAAGCCAATTCTTTGTCCTTCTGTTTAATAAAAAAAAAGTCTGACGCTGTTTGAAATGTAGATAAATACCCCTGTATTTAATCGTACAAAAACAACAAGTCAAATGTCAATACAGAGTTTTAAATTGAGATTGGAGAATATATTTCCATTTCTCTCTTTCATCCTTCTGTCCTCTTCTTCTTCGGCCACTTAAAGGAAGAATGTGCGACTTTTTGATCCAGTAGATGTCGCCCCCTTGAGCACCAGCATGAAACCAAAACAAACTGCTGTTTGGTGACACCTCTGCTATTCTGAAGCCTCCGCTCTCCTCCAACAACGCATCTCCAACCGCGTTCATTCAAAGGAATGATCAATTAGAACGCACCATAATGAAGCACCATTAAGTGAAGCAGCTGACAAAACTGTCCTTTGCTCGAGCTGCATTAGCCTGTGTCCTGTGGTGTTGTGTTAGCAGGCTAATGTTAGCACACTTTGGTTAGCTCGTAGCTTCATATTGCACACAGAATGACCGATATAAACAAACTTAAGTGACATCCAAATAATCAGTGAGTATGTTCTTCTTCTTTTCTCTAGTCCTTGACTGAAACAGCTTTATATTCAAGGCCATCCCGTCCATGTTAACACGATGTAAACACTGCTCCAACAACAACACAGCTGGCGGGACTCGAGCTTCTCACTCATTGTAGACAGTCATGAGACATTTACAGAGGAGATACTCACTCAGTGAGGAGTCATGGAGTGGTGACCTGATGAGTCAAATTTGCAGAGACATCTATTTATCTAATCTAAAAAAAAATAGATTTAAATATTTGGCACCAGAAATATATATTGCCTTATTATGTAATATAAATACCGCTCCATGTATTTAATCTTACCACCCCTGGAGTAATCACAGTACACTTGACATAAGAACAGGATGATCCTGCTCCATATATATCCTCCCTTCTGTTTGAGCATTAACAGGATTATACTCCTCGTTGTATTGCTTCTTAATTGCTGTGTGAAATTGCTAGATTGCTTGCTAGATGACGATTAATTGGACACAGCAAGTGTCACTTCTGGCTCTCAGAATGTTTGTCAACTAAACGATCAATCAGTTAAATAAAAAAAGAGGATGACCCCCCCCCCCCCCCCCCTAATTACTGACATGTGCCCCAAACAGCAGCACCTTTGAAAGACGTGTAGGTCCTACTGTGTAAATGGATAAAAGCATCCCCACTCCCCCAATGCATGCCAAACGATGGCCTTCAGTAAGTCTCGGTACAGATTTCTTCTCCGGATTTCATGCCAGTCGACTTCCTGTCTGAGGCCGGGCATCAGGAAGTGGGGTGCCTGCTTTATCAGTAAGAGGTAAACACGTCCTCGGAGGAAAGAGGAAGGAACATTCCTCAGATGGAGTGGGGAGGATGTGTCTGATTTTATGCTAACAAGAAAACAACGCTGCACACAGAAAGTGAGCAAAACGATACAGACAACCGATGTAAAGGTAACAGAGGGGAAATATCTGAATGAGATCATGTAGAATTCATTCATTCATCCTACGGGAGGAGTCTGAAAAGGAGCAGAACAAAACTTTGAATGTTATTGCTTTTAGTGGGTCTTTTTAATCCTGAAAAGGAGGATCCCTCTGAGCCTCTTCAGAGAGGACACAGCCTCAAAAAAAACATCTGAAGATCTGCTCTACTTTGAGCTCTTCACACGAGTCTTGCTCTCTGATGTGACGCTGTTAGACTACAGAAGTTAAAGATGGGTGCTGTGACACGCTGAACCTGATGTTTATGACATCTGTTGGCTTCTGATAAGTGCCTCGCTGTTTCACACGGACGTGGGTGAAGGCTGTTTGCACAAGTCTTTGTTTGACATGCTTTGCTTACACAAGGTGGGACAGGCTTTAGTCACACAGAGGTACAGTATCCACTGAGTGTGTGTCAGTACAGGTGCAGGTGGAAGTGCTGAATAAGTGTAGAGGGGGGGAGAGGGGGATCCTGCAGTAAGGACACTGCAGTAGGTGTGAGGTGTAGGGGAGGATGTGTGCTCTCTTATAGTGTGACTGTCCTTCAAATATTCACCTGCCATTGACTCTCTCGTTTTTCAAGTGGACCTGAGAAATAAACGGCTCTGTTCTTCTGAACTGAAAAGATAGTTATCCAAGAATTATGAGAAACAAATCATCTGCTTTGACTTTTCAGAATGAAGACAAAATGTAACTCAGAATCCAAACAGAAGCTCTCATGCTTGTCAACAGACAAGTCAGGCAACTGCTTGGGGCCCCAGACCAGTAAGGGGGCCCCTGAGGGCTAACATGGTAAACCAAAGCAACGGCAAATTTTCTAATGACAGGAAACCTCCCTAAGGGGCCCCATCTGACAGCACTCACTCTAAATCCCCTGCCAAGCGTCACATGCATTATTTCTTTGAAAACCAAAGTTTGTCAATAAGGATCATCAAAGAAAATAAAAAAGGATCTATCTGTCTGTAAGAGAGAAAAAAGAAAGAGGGAATACTATTAAGCGTTGGGACACTGGCAGACATTATGGTGATGAATGAAGGTTAGAGGGCCCCACAAATGATTTTTGCCCGGGGCCCCAACAGACTCTAGAATCGCCAATGCATTTAGGCCACTTAAAGCTGCTGTGGGTAAAACTTTTGTGCCGATTATGGCGCCCCCTGTGGTCAAAGCTGAACCTCTTAACTCTTAGCTAATTTTGCCCTGTTTGTGTATAAGTCGTTTTTACAAGATAGCATCCTGCAGTGGTTAGCACTGTTTCCTCACAGCCAGAAGGTTCCTGGTTCAAGCAAAGGATGGGACAAGCGGTATAGATTATGGATAGATGGATGGATGGACTTTGCTGTTGTTTAGTTATAAAACTCATTCTGATCATCTCAAAGTTGCAGCACTTCCCCAGGATCCACTTTGTGAATTCTGTCTGCACTTTTTTCTCTGCAGATTTTTTGTCTCATGACGCTTCAGTACTTTTAGTCTCTGATGTCCTCACTTGTTTTTCCCCTCTTTTTTGTGTCTTTTTTTTTTTTTTTTTTTACTGCTGCCATACATCTCTATCACGTACTGTCCTCTCCCTCCCCCTCTTGACTTTAAACTCCCTCTCCTCCTTTGCAGAGGATATGGGCCCAGAGTCCCCGCGCCTGAGGAGATGTCTCTGGGTCGGCTCCTGCGGCGCGCCTCCTCCAAAGCCTCCGACCTCCTGACCTTTAATCCGGGTGCGGGGGGCACGTCGTTGCGCTCGGGCCTGGATGGCGAAATCATTTTCTCCAAAAATAACGTTTGTGTGCACCCTGCAGAGCCCCTGCCCGGCCTGGCGGAACACCACCCGGGTAAGGCTGGATGGATGCTGACAGTGTGGATGTACATGTGATGAGAGACATAATAAGAAATAATCCCATAAATTATATGTATTTTAATGTTTTATCCTGAGTCTTCTTTTATATTTGATAAAGGTTGTAATTTGTATATATTGTATATTTCTTACTCTGGTCTTCAGGTATCGCTCTTCTTTCTTTCATACTTTATTCGCTCACTCTATAGGCAACACACACACATACTAATGTACCTGTCCCAGTGTTTCCCCTACCATTATATTGATAACGCCCCCCCCTGAAGGTCTTTATTTTTGGGCTTTTTGTGCCTTTACTGTGCCTTTATTGTAGGGATAGGATAGTGGATAGAGTCGTAAATCAGGGAAAGAAGTCATTTAAGGATACCTTTCCGATAGAAAAGGGCAGCTGTCATTAAAAGTAACACATGAACACCAAGATTCCTTCAAGTTTTTGTGTCGTCGTGTCGGCATATCGGCTTGTCCCCACCCCCCCAACGCTGTAAACCTAGGGGAAACACTGTGTCCTGTCCTTTACCTGTGAAAATAGCAAAAGACATCTAATATAAATAAACGCAGAATAAAAATCACATAGCACACATACAGTGTCGGGGACACTGACGCTTCAGTGTTTAGCCAGCTGCTGAGTTCTCTCTCTATTTCTCAAAAATCTTCAATATTTATTTAGTTCAGGTAGAATCAGTTCTATCTGAACACCTGTTGGTTTGACGCTTGCCTGGCAAACCAAACCAACGGCTGTGTGGGGGTGCCTTAAAACCGCCTGCCTTCTCTGGTCCAAACAAATCCAGAGCATTCAGGACCAGAATCTAAAGTTAGAAGGAGGAAATACTGACTGCTGCATTGTTGTCAGAGAAGCCAGCACTTCAACATAGCATGTTTCCTTAATGTCTGATGATGTAGTAAGATCATTTTATTATTTATTTCCGTAGATATCTTACATATGTTCCTTTAAAGTCTAACCATAGGGTTTAAAACAGGCTGACGTTTCTATGCTTTTAAAAGAGTGTTTTTAAGTGCTTCGTTGCTGAGCTGATTTTAATCTTTTCCTGGTTTGAACACTAACAGGATTTCAGTTTTCTGTTCAGTTTCTCTCTCTCTTATCTTCTCTGTCTGTCATCGTTCATTTTTACTGTGTTTCAGTTTGATGCATAGTCATCACTCACCTCTCGGTGTTGTAACCTCTCCTCTGGTTTCATGTTTGTGTTTAGGTTGCAGCTGCATGCTTCTTTATAAAAGTCTTGTCATTTCCTCTCATGTTACCTGATTTTTATTTTTTCCTCCTTAATGCTTCTGACTTATGCTGACTGGGTTTCTGTTGCCCCCTGCAGGCTACCTGTGTGTGCACACGGAGAAAGATGATAGCCTGGGCACCACTCTGATTCTGACATGGGTGCCCAACTCCCGCATCCAGAAGCAGGATGAGGAGGCGCTGCGCTACATCACGCCAGAGAGCTCCCCTGTACGCAGGAACGCACGCCGCAGGGGCCGACGGTATGTGAATCTCAAGTTATATTTTTCATGGTGGCTCTTTGGTATGAAGAATTTTAGTCAAGTTTATTCCTTCTGTTTTTTAATGATCGTTTGATAGAAAAAATTGTCAGCCCTGTGTCAACATTTCGCACAACTCTGATGATGTTTTAAAAAAACTAAATGTCAGTGTGACCCTCTCCAGGCCTCACTCGCGGCCCCCTGCAGCCCCGGAGGAAGAAGATGACGAGGAGAGGAACATAACCAGCAGCACCTCTGGGGAGAGCCACAGCCTGGTGGTGGTGGAGGCGGGAGCCGATCCATCCTCACACCAGCAGCCACTGCCTTCGACCACGGAGGAGGGTGACGAGCTGTCGGACGAAGTGAGCCGGGACAGCACCATGGGGTCGGACTCGGACACTTTCTCCTCTCCCTTCTGCCTGTCCCCCGTCAGCGAGGCCCTCTGTGAAAGCAGCGGCTCCGTCTTCCTGGACAGCGAAAGCAGGTCAGTGAAAACCTTTTATGGTGATCCATGTTTTTACACAGCAGAGTTAAGTTCACTCTTTCAGCAAAGACTCCTTCATTCACCTCCTCATGACTCCACAGCGAGCGTGTGGATACCATGAGCACTGTGAAAAAAATCCTTCTAAGTGATTTTATATTTGTCCAACCTCCTGCCGCTCTCTTTCTCCTCTAATGTCCCCTCAGCTTTTCATACAAGACAAAACAGTCTCAAGAATAATCTATAAAAACAAATGGGATGATTAAATTCTTCTGATTTATTTTTAGAGAATGAGAGAATGACAGTTAAGCCGTTTATTCACGGGTTGATCGAGTGTTGTGGAAATTCTTTACCTTGTCATCGTTCATGCAGTCGGTGCATAGACTCTAAATAATCGAAATACTCTAACTTTCAGTCAGCCTAACGACAGGATGAGATCTGGAGCTGAGGCGGGTTTTAAGCCTCTTGACAAACCGTTATTCTGCACCCGCCTGGCAATCAGGTCAGCTACACTCCTTATTGTGAATAACTCTCATGGGCAGCTGTGGCTCAGTGGTATAGTCGGTCGTCTCTCAACCGGAAGTTCGAGGGCTTGATCTGCAATTCCTGGAGTCACGTGTCTGATTTGTCCTTGTGCAAGACTTTACATAGCAACTTCTGCTATCACTGTGTGAATTTGAAGTTTTGTGTAAAAAGCTCCTTCTCCAGGTGTCTCAACGTCCTTTGTCCAAGAGATCATAATATCTAAGAGACAAAAAAAACAAAACACAACTGCACACTGAACATCAGCATCCCGGACACTTTCATGATTGTGTATGTGTACAGGGATATAAAAAATCAGCGTTCTTCTGCTTTTAAAAATCAGATCCAGAATAAGATGAGAACCCAGATTAGGTTTATTTGGTAATTTTTTTTTTAAGTTACCAAAAGCCGCCACAAGGTGGAGCCAAACAGAAAAGAATTGATTGTATGAGGGAGTCGGAGAGAGGGGGACGCTCGGAGGCCTCATGGTGGCTCACTGCACAAACGCTGAAGCGTCTCTTCTGGGGAGTGAGAGCAGGTAGATGACTTCAGCAGGAGGCGTGAAAAAAAGCACACCCGAGTGAAAATGAGTCGGCTGATTAAAAAGCAGCTCTGAATCGAAATGTTTTTATAAACCCACAGATGGCCCTGAAATAAGTCCCCCCCCCCCCCCAAAAAAAAAAACCCAAACCCCAAAAACCCCACAGCTTTCCAGAGACTTCTTCTTCAATCAAGCGAGCCATCTGGACGAGCGACTGCGATGCCTCTTTCGGACCTCATGGGCTGTTTCGCCTTTAAGATTCCCTTCGTGGTCGTTTCCTCACGCAGCTATTTGGCCTGACGTGTTGCCCAGAATGTGCGAGCCTCTGTGTCAGTGTGTGTGTCAGAGGGAGTGAGAGGAGCCTGTCAGTGTGTGTTCTGGGGCCTTTTTTTTTTTTTTTTTAACCGCTCTCAGACCCCAGCTTGCTGTAAGTGCAGTCAGTGTGTGACTTGGCAGTGCTCTCGGCTTCACAGCTTCTAACCTTTACTCTGTCCTCCTCCTCTTCTTCCTCGGCTCCTCCGTGCTTAAACTCTCTCTCAAAAAAACCTGGCGCTTGAATACGTCCTAGCCTCCTTCTCCTTTCCACTATCAGTCCATTCTTTCCACTTTGCATCCTTTCCTCTCTCTCATTCACTCTGTTTTTCCTCAATATTGTTTCTTTCGGTGTTGCCCACCTCTCAAATATCTCCCCCCCCCTCCCCTCCCCTCCCCTCCTCTAACCAGAGTCTGTGTGAAGCCCTTTGATTCCCAGTGCTCCCGGGGTTGTTGTGCTGGGCTGAATGTCAGCTCTCCGGATTAGAGGACTGAAGAGAGCGGAGCAGCAGCCAAAACCCTGGAACCCACTCAATCTCTCTTTCTCTCTCTCTCGCTTTAATTGACACTGTTAAGGGGCCGGGAACTGGAAACATGTCACTTGGAATCATTCAAAGAGAAAAGAACGGCGTATGGGAGAGCGAGAGCGGATGAAAAAGGGGGGGGAGGAGGAGAGTGGTGGGAGAGGAATCCACAGCAATCTCTGTCGAGCTTCTTTACAAGTTTCTTTCAAATTGAGCCGTAGTTTATTAAACCGCCTGCTCTACTTCACTGAGGCTTTATTAGCAGAATTGAAGTGATAATAACTCAGGTAAGTGGTTTCCAATGTAGTGAGGCTTTAACACACTCTCAAGTGTAACACTCGGTTCTCTCGGGCATATGTCCAAATGTAGATGTGTTTTTATGTCTTGCTGCAAAACAAATTCCCCTTGTGGGACAGCGAAGAGAATCCGATCCGATCGAATCACTTCATGTATCCCGACGTTGTGAATTAGGGGAAACTTCACGATTTTCAAGGCTTAAATGAAGGTTGATGAAAATTACACTCAAGACACTTTTCAAAAAAAGAGCAGCTATAGACCGTTCTCTTTAGTAATTTTAACACGTGCTTTCCTGAAAACGTCATGCAGACCGCCCCCTGAAATCTGCCTGAGTTGTGTTGTTCACACATGTCCCTCTAAGCGGGAGACTCAGCAAAAGTGTCCACTATTCAACACTATAATAATAAATTCTGCCTTTACATTTACTTTACATTCACAACAGAGAGCAGCAAAGAAAAAATCATACTATTTTTTTTTATACTTCCGGCTGCCTTTTCACAGTTTTCACATTTACTAGAGGGCTGGCAGGAAAAATTCCAGTTAACAGTTTCAGTATATAATTGAGCTGTTTGTGTTCACACATGCAGCTCACCCAGAAAACTCCAGAAAGTTTTCAGGGGTCTTGTGCATATGTGAGACGAGAGCTTTATTTGTTATAAATAAGTGGAGTTTTAAAAGTAGAGCGTGGTGCCTGCCTCCCGGGCCCTCACTGGTAGATGATTCTGAAGGAGTGGAGCCTGATAACTGACGGCTCTACCTCCCATATTACTTTTTAGAGACTGTAGGTACCACAAGCAGGCCTTCACTCTGGGAGGGTAATCTTCTAGTTAAGTAACACGGCTCTGTGAGCACTGTCAGATTACTCTGGAAATGGAGTAATGTGATTTATTTTCCTAGTTCTTGTCAGTCATGGCTGATTGAGCAGAACTGGAATAATCCAACCTTCAGGTAACAAATGCATGGACTGGTTTTCCTGCAATATTTTGACACAGGTTGTGCCTGTGTGTCCAATCGGACTCAAAGCTGATCGTTTGCTCTTACTGACATTGTTCCCTTTTTTCTAGATCCTTGCTTGTGTTGTACTTACTCTCTGATGTACGTCGCTTTGGATAAAAGCGTCTGCTCAGTGAATTGTAGAATTGTAGAATATAGTGAAGGTAAAAAAAAAAAGGCTGAAATGTGAAGGGCATATCCAGGTCAAATAGAAAATCTAAAGGGCTTTGTATGATTAAACTCCTGAAAACATGTAGCTGACTTACATGTCATGTTGTGTCACTACTTTCAAATTAGTTAACCATGTTGATGTTTTTTTTACATTCTCACTGTGCTGACCATTTCCCAGTGTGTGCCTGCAGAGCCCACACAGCCCCCCCCCCCACCTTTCCCCTTCATCTCTCAGCTCCCTGCAGGGATTATCTGAAGGGGCTTGGGAGTCCCTGGAGGCCTGTAGTGCTTGGTTCTGGTTCTCAGGGTGACCTGGCAGCACCTTTCCCTGTGGGCTAAAGTCTGTATGTAGGGAGAGGTGTTATGAAGGGCCTGAGGGCAGTTTGATCTCAGTCTGGCCTGGTGGGACGTGCAGCAGCCTGACTCCATCAAAACAGCTTGTTTACATAACACAGCTCTGTACAGTTGGAGGCTTTGTGTCTGAGCAGAACCAGGCTGCTCGACGCTCGCAGACGTTGTAGACCAATCATTGAGTTTCGGCTTGGATTCAGCACAGCAGACAATCCACGCCTCGATGCAAAGTGTCATGTGCTTCCTCGCCTTGTTTCCCAGAGTTTTTGCACTATGTGGAAGAATACGCAACAACGCTGTTGCATGCATATGTACAGCGTGCCAAAGAATGAAGGAAACGCTTTTCTGTGAAAATTCTCCTAGGCCTTGTAAACACCCATAGTTTGACAGTCGTTGGGAGTTGTGAGAAACGAGTACAGTAGTCCTTTAAATGAGCTCCTACAGATTTCAGATGACTTAAGCAGAGCTCCCCTCCCGCTCTGCTTTGTGGCGTGATACATGAGACAGCACGCAGTAAATCAACAGATAGCGGAGGAAACGCTGCAGCTTGGATTGATCAGTCCTTGTTATTTTCCCATCTGCTGACGAGGAAATGATTAGCCATACATGATTGATGCAGGGTGTGATAGATTACAGTTGGCTGGCCTCCACTGTGGCCAGTACCAACACGTCACTTTTCTTAATTTGTAACATTTTTCTGAAGAGGAAATATTTTTTCTGGTGAAATACCTGCTGTCACTTCTAAAGTGGAGTGTTAAATTAAATTGTTTGTTCAGACCAGAGGGAGGAAAAGGTCTCTTTAATATTTGAGATATAATGAAATATATTTTTTAAATAATGATTAGCTTTGGTTTAAATGGTTTTGGTTAACATATAATACACAATAAGTATTTTTAACGTTGAGTAGCAGGAAAATAACTTCATTTAGTCGTGTACTTCTCAAATGTCAGCCGGTTTAACGCATTTTAATGTAGGTCTGTTTCCCCGCATTAGCATGTCTCCAGACGTGTTTGACAGTGCATTATGGTCATTAGCTAAGGTCCATTCACGTGTGTGTGTGTGTGTGTGTGTGTGTGTGTGTGTGTGAACAACTGTGTGTGTGTGTGTGTGTTTGTGTGTGTGTAAAGAGAGTAAGACATTGAACATGGCAGCCGATGATTCTTATATTCTTAACTTGTGTGTTTTTGCTGTTGTTCATGATGCATGTGTGTGTTGTATTTCTGTACCGTCACACGTGTGTGTGTCTTCGTCTGTGAGTGTGTAGTGTGTAGTGTGTAGTGTGTAGTGTGTAGTGTGTAGTGTGTAGTGTGTAGTGTGTAGTGTGTAGTGTGTAGTGTGTAGTGTGTAGTGTGTAGTGTGTAGTGTGTAGTGTGTAGTGTGTCTCCTTCTGCAGCAGAGGAACCCTCAGCTCAGGTTTCAGTGCCGGGAACAACATGCTGGCTAGGGGGGAATGACAGGGGAAATTGGTGTGTGTGTGTGTGTGTGTGTGTGTGTGTGTGTGTGTGTGTGTGTGTGTGTGTGTGTGTGTGTGTGTGTGTGTGTGTGTGTGTGTGTGTGTGTGTGTGTGTGTGTGTGTGTGTGTGTGTGTGTGTGTGTGTGTGTGTGTGTGTGTGTGTGTGTGTGTGTGTGTGTGTGTGTGTGTGTGTGTGTGTGTGTGTGTGTGTGTGTGTGTGTGTGTGTGTGTGTGTGTGTGTGTGTGTGTGGTGAGAGCCTCCATGCTTTTCTCACACTCTCAGCCTTTTCTATTGAAACACAAAACAACAGGGCAGAGCTGAGCTTAGGATAGGACTGTGTATCTGTCCTCACTCGACAGAACACATGATGGCCACATTAAATTAATTATACATTTTCCACATTAACAACAAAAATAACGGTGTCCTGTCCCTTTTTGGTTGATTTAAATAAAGGAAATCTGATGTTTCCTGTAGCACAATCAAGCTCTGAAAAATGTCTCTGGGAACCTTACTCCGTAGAAGCTCCTTTATAATTTTCTTTTTGTTGTTTTTTGTTTTCAGGGAGCTGTGCGAGGAGGCCATGACCCACTCTGTAAGCTCCGCCTCCAGCCTGGACAGCCACGCCCCCTCCGAGTGCAGCGGACAGTCGCAGGGTGTGCGCTGGGAGGAGCAGCAGAAGGTGTTGGCTCTGGAGCAGCTGTGTGGCGTTTTCAGGGTGGACCTGGGTCACATGAGGTCACTGAGACTTTTCTTCAGGTCAGCCGGGAGTCTTGAGTCTGTCTCTAATGTGTAATGTGTCACGATGTGTTGCAGGTTTCGGGACGGGATCGGTTTTGATTTATGATGATCTGTGGAAAATGTGTGTGCTTAGGAACAAGGAAGAGATTGGTTATTCAATCCTGGGTTAACACATTACTTTAAATTCTTTATCTGAGAGGGCTTATGGGAAATCTAATTTATATGTTTCACACTTACATAGTTATCAGACATTACAATTTCCTTTCAGTTGAAGCCTACACTCCCAGCTTTTATGATGTTCGTTTATGTTTCCCAGAGCTGAACAAAGTCTTCCCTCTTGTCTTCAGAAATGTAAGATAGTCTTTCCAGACCAACACAGTCAGAAAACTCCTTTATCCACATTCTCAATGACGGAGCATAGTTACTCTTCCAACAGAACACAGCAGCTCTCCCCAAGCTTGTAGAAGTCCTAAATCCAGAGGTGTAGTCTGTTTCTGCAGCCGTTTTCACACATGGGACTCCTGAAAATGTATCGAAGATTTAAGGCAGGCTTCCTCTGGAATCGTTCTGAGTTCCTCGTTCACACAAGTCCCTCACAGCAAAGAGACCATCTCAGGAAACAAGACATGATGTCATAATGTGAAAAAAAAAGACAGTGAAGACAGTTTTTTGGTTTTCTATCGATGCGTAGTGTAGTTCAACATGTTCATAATATCAACAAATGAGTGAAGAAGAACATACTGACAGACAGAAAACATAATGGAGCAGTTTCAGTACACGCACAGCGATCACCCTGTTGCACTTTACAGTCTAACTGCTGCTTATTTGGGGGGAATCTTCCTGAATATTTCCTGCTGGTGCCTTCACACTGACAATTGAATACAGGGCTTGCAGGAAGAAGACCTGGTAAAGTCACACGTGCAGCTCACAAAGGATGGATTTAAATGAGGTTGTGTTTATGTGCAGAGTGCCAGGTATGTACAGTATGAATTTAGATTTCTTGTTTTATGTGCTTTTGCAGTGATGAGGCGTGCACCAGTGGCCAGCTGGTGATAGCCAGCAGAGAGAGCCAATATAAGATCCTCCACTTCCATCACGCCGGCCTGGACAAGCTGTCGGAGGTCTTTCAACAGTGGAAGTGCTGCAGGGAAACTCAGCTCAAAGACCAGGTCAGGCTACAGCACAGAATGCTGTTTAAGAAAGCTGAAGGTTTTTTTCTGCTTCTCTTTTCCTGCCTTCTTCTCTTTTCTAATTCTCTCTCTCTTTTTTTTTTTTTCATCAGGTGTCAGTTGAGAAGTCCTGCATGCAGTTTTCCATCCAGCGGCCCACCCTGCCATCCGCTGAGACTCACCCGGAGGAGAAGCTTTATCGGCGGCTGGACGTCACCACCTGGCTGCGTCACCTCAACCACAACGGCCAGGTGGAGGAGGAGTACAAGCTGCGCAAGGTGTGTGGATAATAATACACCATCAGTCTCACCTGCTGCTGTCCTCACAGCCAAGCTTCACATCTCTAAAACACACAAACTAAACAGTTATTCTGAAAGTCATGCCACAGTGTTTGACTTTCACTTTGAATCAGCGCCGTCGTCCTGCACATAATCACAGGGTTGGTCTCGGGCCATCTCCCCCCTCTGAGTCATCTTGAGTATCTGTGTTTGACTCATTCGAAGGTTTCTAATCTCCCTGAAATGACTCAGTGACAGTCACACTGTGACAAAGATGTTCCCTGCATTGAAGCACACACAAATGCATGAACCCTGGAGAGCAGCTTTTGCTGGACATGCTCATTGTGCAGTGTTTGTTTAAGTTTTGCAGCATTTTGCAACACTCATGAAATCACAAATCTCCTGCAGTTTACTTTAACAATATTGAAGTAAAACTTTTAAAAAAAGAATTCATGCACACTCGCTTGTCTGTGGTGGCGTCCCCTCGTCTCCTAACCATGTGTCCTTCCCTCAGCTGGGATCGCTAAGCAGCTGCAAGTGAAAGCACTGCAGGTACAAGTAAACAGACTTCAGACTGACACAAGTCTGGATTACTTTGATGTAAGCTTAAACAGGGAACAGAATGAGTGGAAGAATAGGGACGAGTATACACTGATAGTTACTTTTAGATTTAGATGTGTAAAATCTAGTTGGTTAATTAGTTATTTCTACTGTCCTACATAAAGATGTAACGATTCCTCACAATACAATTTAAAAAATGTACGCAGTTATGGACAATTTAAATTTATTTGACAAACTTTTTTGGTAAATATCTTCTTTATTCAACCAGCAGAGGGTGCTATCTGTTTTTTTCCTCTAAAATAAAAAAATGGCTGGCAAGCAGATGTGTGCATAGCAAGATATTAACTTGAAGCCGTGCTCACCTAAACAAGTCCAAGAGCCACAGAGATATCAGGACATAAACTAACCACATCCTTAAAGACGGAGCTGAGTCATATTGAAGTAAAACTTTTTAAAAAAGAATTCATGCACACTCGCTTGTAGACGAGGATTTTCAAATAATCAGTCAGGGCACATCTCTTAAAAATAACAGAACATAAGAATCTGACAGGTTTCGACCAAATCTTTTGAAAGTAGAAGAGGTTGAGCAGGAGGAACAATCAGAGGTGCTTCACTCTCCAACATGAGACATGAGCGGCTCTCCTGAGATGATCTAGATATTTTCAGGAGTGTACATGTGAAAACGGCTGTACTGACTCTTTATGAAACCACAGTTCTCACTTTGACTCTTTGTGATTTTTCTTTTTTCAACATATTTTTATTTAAGAAGACATACAGTGCAATTGGGATGCAGTCAACATTCTCCTTTTTTTCCCCAGAAACATTCAAAAACCCAGTATCACTTCTCCCTATAAACAACCCTCCCAGTCCAACAGATAGACCTCTTAGTTTAAATACAAGAATAAAAGTGCAAGAGTGGAAAACTCACAAAAAATAAAATACAATAACTAAATAAAAATAAATAGATAAGCGTGAAAAAATAAAAGTACATTTGAGAAGAGATTAAAAAAGATAATAATAATAATAATACAAAATGACAAGTCAAACATAAATAAAAAATAAATAAATAAACAAACAACATTAACAGGAATGAAAGTCTTTATGTGTATACAACAAAAGTAAATAGGAAAAACAGTATAACCTGTAAAAGAGACAGAAACACACACACACTGCTCAACTTGATCTATAAAAGCAAAAGACAACAGCTGCTCATGTCCAGGGACTCTTTGTGATTTTTATGCCATATTTAAAGAAACTGTTAGGTACTAAAAACTAATGTGCATTTGAATTTGAATTTGAATTTTTTTTATCACTCTTCAAATCGTTATTAGAATATTGAACAATGTAATCCCATATTTGTATCGTGTTGTGCAGCAGGCCGTGCATGCAGTTTGATCTGTTCTCACTGTTATCTATTAGAAGCCACGTGTGCCCTCTGTTTGCCCCTTTGTGCTCAGTGTGTTTACTCTCCTCCCGCTCCCCGCCAGGCCATCTTCTTCGGTGGTATCGACCCATCCATCCGCGGCGAGGTGTGGCCCTTCCTGCTGCACTACTACAGCTACGACTCCTCGTCTCAGGAGAGGGAGGCCTGGAGACTGCAGAAACGCACCCTCTATCACGAGATCCAGCAGAGGAGGTATGCAGTGTAGAGAAAGAAACATATGTGTGTAGGAGAGAACAGGGACAGAACAGGGCTAATGCCACAAAATGATTTTTAAACAACTCTAAGGAAGTAAAAAAAAACAAAAAAACAGACAGAACTCCTGACACCCTCAAACAGCAGCTAAACTGTCACGCGGCTGCGGTATCGACGCAGTCAGTCAAACATTAAACCATATGTGAGTCTGCTGCGGCTTCTCATAGCAGGCTGAGCAATCAATAGGCACAATCAGGGAAGTGTTAAGGGGAGGTGCCGGGTGTGAAATAAAAGGTCTCTGGAGACAAAAACATGTCAGCGCTTAACGGATAATATTCTCTCGTCAGAAGGAGAGGGAAAAAAAACACACACATTGACACACACACTCTCACACATCCCTGAGTCTTTATTTGTCTCGATAACCAAAAGGTTGAGTGTGCTCATATTTTTACACGTCGCGCGGCTCTGTCTGTAATGAATCTGATAATTGGACAGGTTTCCTCTGTATGGCCTATTAACATTTTGAGTACATCACGGCGGCTTCATGGAAGTCGGGTAATTAGGGTCCTTGTTCTGACTCTGATGTGGATTCCTTTAAAGACCATTTGACTAGAGCTGCCTCTGGGGCCACTAGTTGATCATTAGGAGCGAGGATACACGTCTGTGGTGGCGTCCCCTCGTCTCCTAACCATGTGTCCTTCCCTCAGCTGGGATCGCTAAGCAGCTGCAAGTGAAAGCACTGCAGGTACAAGTAAACAGATTTCAGACTGACACAAGTCTGGATTACTTTGATGTAAGCTTAAACAGGGAACAGAATGAGTGGAAGAATAGGGACGAGTATACACTGATAGTTACTTTTAGATTTAGATGTGTAAAATCTAGTTGGTTAATTAGTTATTTCTACTGTCCTACATAAAGATGTAACGATTCTTCACAATACAATTTAAAAAATGTACGCAGTTATGGACAATTTAAATTTATTTGACAAACTGGTAAATATCTTCTTTATTCAACCAGCAGAGGGCGCTATCTGTTTTTTTCCCTCTAAAATAAAAAAATGGCTGGCAAGCAGATGTGTGCGTAGCAAGATATTAACTTGAAGCTGTCCTAACCTAAACAAGTCCAAGAGCCACAGAGCTATCAGGACATAAACTAACCACATCCTTAAAGACGGAGCTGCCCCCCCCCCCAGCAGCAGTAGACAGTGTGCAGGAGTATACATGCAACTTTTGATCACTGAAAACAAGAATTTACACAACATTGCATGCCTATGAATTCTTTCTGTTGTTGTTGTTGTCTTGGTTTCGAAACAAGTGTTAATACTGTTTGATTTGAACTAGCATCATGTAGAAGTAAAAAAAAAAAAACTCTAAATAGAAATAATCAATCCAGAAAAGTTGTGAGGCCTAAAATAACAATTATTTTGTAAATGAGGTTATATTTTTGATTAATGGTACCAGCCTCAGAAATGTATAGTGATGAAAACATGCACTGAACTCCTGAGTAGCATCCCCAGAGAGAGAGAGAGAAAGTGAGATATGGAAAGGTGGCTCAGGAGGGTCAAAGCGCACAAACACTCTTCTGGCACAGGAACCAAACAGTTGCATGGCGTTGCATCAGGTGTGCGCTCATTATTCCTGGTGGGCCTGCATGGAAAACAAACAGTGTTAATTAAATCCCCTCTGCTTGTTAGGACTTGAGTACATTAGTGCCATACACAGACTACATCACTAATACAGTGGCTTACATGTAGGGGGATGGATGGGGGGTTTTATGGTCGTGGTATTATCCTCAGTGGGGCGCTTACTGGTGAAATACCCCTTCAGTCCACTGCTCGCCCACCCCCACATTTTGAGTTCATTTGCAGCTTACCATTAGTGTTTTGCACTAGGGTAACATTTGAGTTAAAGATGATTTGATAAGGCTTTATTTTGGATCCTAATTCCCTTGATTTCCCTCGAGATTTGTGCTCTAAAAACTTTCTTCAACTCTTTTGCCTTGGTCCTTCTTCCCCCCCCCCAGGAAGCTTTTTAAACTAGTTTAATAATTAACGAGGCAGGATTTGGTTTCCTTTCTGCCTGGGTCTAACTTTCTGCAATTTTTAGATTGTCCATGAGCCCGGAGGAGCACAGCGAGTTCTGGAGAAAGGTGCAGTTCACGGTGGATAAAGACGTGGTGAGGACGGACCGAAGCAACCTCTTCTTCAGAGGAGAGAACAACCCCAATGTGGAGATCATGAGGTCAGGATTACACCTCTTCATTATTCAGATCTTCATCTTTGTCTCTCTCGCCCTTCTCTCCGTCTGTCACCTTCTCTCAATCCATCCTTATCGCCCCCACTCCTCAGCTCAATGCACGGGCGTTTCATTTCATATTCTGAACCCTGAGGGAGCCGCAAATGAGTTTCATGCTTTATTGACTCTGACTAAGCCGTCTGAGCACTTTTGATGCATACTCGGAGCTAATGGCTTTCTAAACGAGGAGCAGGAGGATTTAAATAGCATATTAGTTTAGTGACTCTCATGCAGGCTCCTGGTATTTGTCTAGGTATTATGTCGTGTCACGTGCTGCGTGTGGCACAGGACGATACCAGCGCTGCACATATATCTCACATCTGTTGAACTGATATCACACTGATCACTTTTACTGGGTCATTTAATACGAGCACGTCATTTAAACTGAGCATCTTCTTCTTATCATTTTTATCTTTAATCTTTCAAACACAAAACCTCTGCAAAGCCCGCCTCCTCTGACACCTTCTGTCATCTTAGTTTTTACCAGATACTTCTGTTTGGTTTTTTTAAACATTGAACAAATTTAACAAAAGAATGTGATGACAAAAGTTGAAGACATAATGCAATAAAGGATACAGGGAGGAGGAAAAAACAGGGGGGGGGTTACAGTAACAGTAAAGCTTTAGGGTGGATGAGAACCACATTTTTTTCTGTACAGCATTTAATGCTTGTGTCCTTTTATGTTAATCATATCCCCTTGTGTAATCATATGTTGTTTGATTTATCGTTCCACATATCATACCAAATCTTTTGGAATCTCCTCATCCAGTCCCTGTTTTCTATTTGACCTTGACATGTAGTGTTTTATCCTTTAGAGCCCATCCAACCACAGTACAGGATTCAGACAAAGAAATAAATGTTTCTGTCAATATCACACTCTAGTTGATCTAACAGTCAGATTCCAGGCCCATGTACGAAGGCTATAGTCCTTAAGTGGGCGGCCAGAGTTCTCCTCCGATCCTCAGCCTCTTTCCGGCATATCATTCCCCACTGTGTACCCTGTTTCCTACCCTACCCACTGTGCGATCTCCCAAAATAAAGGGGATAAAGATAAATCGTAAGGCCCAAAGATAAATCACACTTGTAAGAATTCTAATGTCCTCCGGGGTTTTTTCCATTGTTTACACTCTCCTTACTAATGCATGAGGCCCACCAGGGAAGTGTTCCTCAAAGTATTATCCATATGCAAAATCAGAAAGATTATTAATTAGCTCCCTGGTAACCAGAGAGGAGTTGGCATAGCAACAGCTGAAGCAGCAATGCTTATAAAACATGTTGGATTAATCCCACACTTTCAAAGGTTTGGCTCTCTTGCTCTTTCTCCTTTATGGACATTAAACATTGCCGAAGTGTTCCATGCATCGTGTTTTCTGCTGAGACGTCGCAACATCATGGACATTCATTTGTCCTCTCCACAGGAGGATTCTGCTCAACTATGCAGTGTTCAACCCGGACATGGGATACTGCCAGGGCATGTCGGACCTGGTGGCCCCCCTGCTCACCGAGATCCAGGACGAAAGCGACACCTTCTGGTGCTTCGTTGGCCTCATGGAGAACACCATCTTCATCAGCTCACCTCGGGATGAAGACATGGAGAGGCAGCTGGTAGGCAGCTGAGTATAGGTTATGTGTGTGTGTGTGTGTGTGTGTGTGTGTTTGAGTAAAGCAAATATCAGGCCATACCAAAGAAGTGGAGATGCATACAAAGACACTCCATGTAGGATTGTTTGGAAAGTTCCTAATCCTCCTCCAGCACGACCTCCCAGCTCAGGATTAGGCCTTCATCCACCCATTTCTGAAACTGAGAATGTGATCTTCTTTTTTAAATATATTTTGTGATCATCTTTCACACCAACAACCCAATGCAACACTATGACTGTCTACTAGAAGAGCACATGTCTGATTATGATCTCTATAGTGCTTCTGACATTTTCTCCTGAAATGTTTGAGGTGAGCTGCAATTTATGTCTCAACACAAATTGCCCAAATGTTGTACTCATAAGACAGGGGAAGTCCCCCTCTGTGAGGTGCAAGTGAGAACAGAGAAGAAAGTAAGAGTTCATGGGCTTCCTGCCTGACATCTTCTAGACATTTTGTGTGAAAACACTGCTTTGGATTTCCTCTTCTTTTAAATCCTTCTTTACTATCCTCACTGTCTCTGATTTTTAGAATAGTTTTTTTTTAGAACAAATTTGCCTTCAAACATAAGTTGACAGATGAACTATGTATTTAGCTTTAGCATGTAGCCTCACACTGACACAAAACCCAGGTAAACTCCTGAAGTTTTCGGGCTTTTTCACAGAAGTTTTCACGACTAAAGACTGAACGAACACGGCCTTTGCTAAATCACCACAACCTCAAAAGACCAGAAGAAGTATTATATTTCAAGTGATTTGAGGATTTGATACTGATAGCAAGGGGGAACTGATTTTCTGAACTTAACTCTTCATGTTCTCTTTGTTGTGGTTTCCTCAATAAATTTGTGCTTCTTAGATGATTCTTACATTATGTTACACTTTCAGTTTGGACATGCATAAAAGAAACACTGAAGTTTAAGCGCAACCTGTGAACACATGTGTACAAGCACCAGAAAGAAGCATCATCTAGAGCAGGGGTGGGCAACTGGCAGCCAACATGGAAAAAACATGACAAAATCTGCCATGAAAACCAGAAATATGTCCATAATAATATTTGATCACTGGTATATGTTGAGTTAAATTTGAGACATAATTGACTGTAATCGTTTTTGTATTTTGTACTACAATTTGGCTCTCTGGCAGTGAGAATGAAATGAATGTGGCCCTTGCTGTGGCCAAAGTTGCCCGTCCCTGATCTAGCATCATCATTAGAAACTGCCTGTTTGTGTTTGTAACAGTGTGTTTCCTCTCTGACCGACCCCCCAGATGTACCTGCGGGAGCTGCTGCGTCTCATGCTGCCTCGCTTCCACCAGCACCTGACCCGGCTGGGGGAGGACGGCCTCCAGCTGCTCTTCTGCCACCGCTGGATCCTGCTCTGCTTCAAGCGAGAGTTCCCCGACACCGAGGCTCTCCGCATGTGGGAGGCCTGCTGGGCACACTACCAGGTCAGGGCAAAGTCTGAGCAGCTCCTTTTTGCATACGCAGGCTTGTAAGAACAACTTTGCATAAATGAGTGCACGGAGGCGTTTGACGCCGTGTCGATGTAGCGCCACGTTTTGTTCTTCTTTTCCTGGAGGCAAGTAGAAATGTGCTGTTTAAATTCTGTGCACTAAAATCCATGTTATTCCCTTAAACCCTGTCACCACAGACAATTGTAATCCTCCTAAATACTTGTAAAATGTCATATTACATCTTGGTTTTGGATGAGTGAAATGTTTAATTTATGAGGGATTAAGGATTTTTTCAGGAAAGATTTAATATTTCATAAAAATCCCTTTTTTTTATTTGGTTGAATTTAAACTGGAGAGATTTGTTAGCAGGGTAAGGTACATGGATTCAAAGACTGATCTTTATTTTCAAAAGGAAATCTGCAGCTTCAAGACGCTGCAGGGTATTAAAGCAGTGTCCTAAAGATGGACGCTGCAGGGTATTAAAGCAGTGTCCTAAAGATGGACGCTGAAACTGGCGATCTGCAGACATTTGAGTTTCAATTCCAAATTTTCAAGCTAATACAATCAAACTTCCTTATCTCAAAGTGACACAACCTCCACTCCTGGTATCAGAGTCGTGCTCACTGCATGGCAAAGAGCTTTGCATATCTACTCGCTCAGCCAGAGAGTCACTTGAGTCTCTGTGCTTCATGTCACCTGTTCAGACCGCCTGCTCGATGTTAACATCTTCAGCTGCAGGTGGTGAGAGGGGAAACCTCGATTTAGACGGTTAAATGTCACATATCAGATGGAGCAGAAACAGGAAAACCCCTGACTGATATCTGAATTTTCTCAGAGCGTGATGCATCAGATATAATACTTAGATACTGTGACATAAATACTCAGATATAATTCTTAGATATGCATCCAACTTCAAACAAAAACGTGGGATAAATTGCACCTCTTGGAAAAAAAAAATGTAACCGCCATTTTTTAAAATTAATCTTTTAATTTACTTTCCATCTCCACCCTGAAGATTTCAACCCTCTAATCTTTTTTCTCGTTTAGTAATTCTGTGTACATTTCTCTTTTTGCCATATCGGATCTTTGTCTTGCTTAGAAATAACCTTCAAGTTGTTCCCTTTAGGTATGATTCTGATTTGTCTTCCTGTTAGACTTAACTTCCTCCCCTCTCTTCATAGACGGATTACTTCCACCTGTTCCTCTGTGTGGCCATCATTGTTCTCTACGGTGAGGATGTGACAGAGCAGCTGCTCGCCACCGACCAAATGCTGCTCCACTTCAGCAACCTCTCCATGCACATGAACGGAGAGTTGGTGCTACGCAAGGTATCCTCACTAAGTGCTCTTTACGCGAGGTTGAGGCCTTCTCATTTAGAAACTCTGGACCTTTGCACCGCACACCTAAATCACATCTTCAAAATATGATAAATAACCTTTGATTTATGATGACGCCGACAAGTATTCCTCCACACACACTGCCGCATTACATTTAATTTAAAGTGGTACTGCTGCAGCAAAGCAGCTCCCGTACACTGTAACCTGCCCACAGAGGCCTTGGGATGCTTAATGGGATGCCATGCAGAGGATTTATGATCTGCATCTCTGCTACTGAGCTTGTGCCTACATCCTCATGTTTATGGATGCTTTGTTTGTTCTGCTGCAACCACAGGCAGTGTGTTCATGTTAGCATTCAGCAGGTGTAGCTCTTGCTGTTTTTTGCCTGCGATTGTGCACACAATGTTTTAAGAGCAAGCAGGCCGGCTTTTGAGCTTTAGGCAACACTCTGCTATGTTGACCTTGGCATGTTTTTATTTAGTTTAAAAATGAAGCCAAGGGTGGTGACTTGTTTGAATCCATGACTTTTCTTCTTTTGTCAGTTCCTTTTCTCTCTTTTACATATTTCAGTCCATCTTTTTCCCTCCTGCAGGCTCGCAGCCTTCTCTACCAGTTCCGCCTCCTACCCAGAATCCCCTGCAGTCTGCATGACCTTTGTAAACTGTGTGGCCCGGGGATGTGGGACAGCCGCTACATCCCCGCAGTGGAGTGTTCGGGCGAGCACCCAGACTCACAGAGCTGCCCCTATGGAGGCACCTCCACCCCGCAGCCCTCCTCGCCCTCTCCGTCGTCCACGCCCTTGCCCTCACCGAATCCCACGCCTCCGTCGGAGGGCAAGAGAGGCTCCAAAACCCGGGACATATTCACCTTTCGGAAACAGTCCTGAGGTGGAGGCTGCAGGGAGCTTGGCTGGTCTTTTGCTCGTGTCAGCTTCAGCAGAGTTCTGGATCCTTCTGTTGGATTCTTGGACTGTTTGCTGCCCTGTCTCTCAACAGTCTCTGCTTCTAGTTTTCACCGTCTTAAAAAGGGATTTTTCACGTGATCCTTTCATGTGTTGCATCGTGGAGACACTGCCTTACCAGAACGTTTGTTTGCAGCACTGAGTGTCACATGAATCTGTGCTGAGGACACACAGGCAGACAAGAGGCGGCGGCTTCATTCACAGCAGACAATCATCAGGCCCTGTGCTGGTCTGGAGCTCCTTCAGGTTCAAGTCTGCTGCTGGCTTGGCAAACTTCCAGGGGTCTTTGTGGGCAGGGGGGGGTCACATCAGGGTTGGAGGCAACCAGTCTGACTACGTGCAGACTCTGACTGAGGGGTCAAATGCAAACTGGAGATTCATTCATGAGAATTTAAAAAATGTTCCTGTGTTCTCACAATGGAATATTTGTGTGAATATCAGATTATATAAAGTATGTGTGTGTATCTCATGGCTGAACATGAAATCCACAACCTCTGTGGGTTCACCTACAAACGGGATTATAAAGAATTACCAGTCCTTTTTAAGTTTTCTTCAAAATTCATTCCCAAACAAATGAATGTTTCCATTTATATCAGCAGTTGCAAATATTTAGCAATACTATATCCTTGCATGAGCGATTCTTGACGTATAAAGGGGGCACAGCGCGTGTTGTTGCAAAAACACTCGAGGGAAGAATGTGTTTACACGACAAACAACCGGCATCATGATACGGCTCCTGCACATTTCCTCATCAGATTGTGATAAGGGACGTTCCCATTCTTTTGTTGTTTCGTTGACAAGCATGAGGAAGCATTGTGTTTCCTTCTGGTAAAGTCAGACGATCTTGTTACCTGTCGAGCCGCAGGAGGGTTAACCATTGACACGTTGCTATGTGAGATGTAATGTGAGTGTCCTGGGTGATGTACAGCACTCATCGAGCCATCGAGAGAAGAGATCCCTGATGGTTTTGGCAGAGAGAGTGGTGATGTCTTACTTGAAGTTTCCTCGTCTGTGTCGGACAGGGGGTGTGGCATATCGTCAGCACGGTGTTGTTTTTTTCTCCGTCTCTTCACTTTAAACAGAATGACTATACGCACTATCAACACTTCAGAAATCAGTCCACATGAATGTATCTGCTTTTTTTTTTGTCTTCTGCCTTTTTTTTCTAACTCAAAACTTCTCAGTGTACGTGTGGATGCGTGCATGAGTGTGTGACCTCTCCAAACATCTGGTAATGAGTTGGAGAGCAGCCGTAGACCCCCCCCCCCAACCCTCCCGGCTCCCCCGACCGGTCTCTTTAATTATGGCCGTCATCATCATGGGGCAAAACCTGGGAGAGAGAAGAAGAAGAAGAAGGAAAATCCGGCTGTTGGGAATCTTCAGAGGGGGGAAAAAAAACGTGAGAGATGTGGAGAGGGAGGGGAACATTTAGGCTTCGTACAGGGGTGTGTAGGGATCTTGCCTCTGTGATTTGCAAGTCCCAGATGTAACGATGGTCTCCGCTCTGAGGCTTTTCCCTGAGAGCTTGTGAGTGACACTCCCAAGGGGGGAGGGGGGGGGATATCTTCAAATTGGTCCTAAAATGTAGCATTAAGACCTTCAATCAGCCTTCCTTTGCCACCCACCCGCTCTCTCTCTCTCTCTCTCTCTCTCTCTCGTGGTCTCTCTCTCTCTCTTGCTCGCTCACTCACTCAGCGAGCAGTCTCTTCAAATGACATTCATAACTGCTCCTTTTCCCTATTAGTTATCATGTGCAGCTGCTAGCTCAAACTGCCTGCAGAGTTTTGAAGATTGGGTGGCGGCAGGAAAATGAGCAAAGTCAGGGATGCACGATGGAGAAGTTGTGTGTGTGTGTGTGTGTGTGTGTGTGTGTGTGTGTGTGTGTGTGTGTGTGTGTGTGTGTGTGTGTGTGTGTGTGTGTGTGTGTGTGTGTGTGTGTGTGTGTGTGTGTGTGTGTGTGTGTGTGTGTGTGTGTGTGTGTGTGTGTGTGTGTGTGTGTGTGTGTGTACAAAGGAACTCATGAATTTGATTAAAATCCTCTTTGAACTCACATTCTCTCTCTGCACAGACACTGACAGTCACGAGCCTAATTGATGACTTCTCCTATTTGAAGGGGTTTTGATCAGAATCACTGAATGTACGACGTTGCTGTAGAGCTCAATGATAAGTCGATGTATTTACTGAACACATCACAGCTAAAAACAGAGCCCATTCCTATCACTGGTATTACAGAAAACACGGTCATACTTTATAGGAACATCTCCAGAAATGGTTTTTCTGAACACCGAAACACAGAGTCCAATGTATAAATGCCTTTCTGACAATAAAATGACTGCTGATTGTGATCTGATACCAACAGAAAAAAAACACTGCTGGGATTTACACCTCAGTTACTTTTCATCATTAAACACTGCTCAAGATATTGCATTAAGTGTGTGTGTGTGTGTGTGCTTTTATTATGGGAACACAAGTATCACAACAAAGAGAAAGAGAGATGCTTTTTATGTTATCAATCAAATGTTAATTAATCATCATAAATCACAAATTCAAATCTAATGCATTCATGATATACCAAAAACTAAAAATGTGCTGGTACATTTTTAGTAGACATTTTGTAGATAATGAATAAAATTAGCAGGTTCAAAGAAAAAAAGCATGTAGTGATAGTATCACAAATATCCATAATAATAAAGTTTCAGCACCGTCCTCTCTGGTCGATGGTTCTTCCTGCAATACTAAAATGGCTGCGGCTTCTAGATCCATGTCTCTCTGCATGACGTGATTCTTTAAATGAAGGCGGCAACCTGCTCAACAGTACGGCTCTAACATAACTGTCTGCTCTGTAAACCAGTTATACTTGAAAGTGTACAAAGAAGTTTGTATACAAGGCAGTTTATAACATCATCAACAGCTGAAATAGTTTGCTTTGTTTCGCAGCAGATTTCAATATATAAGAACCAAAGTGACCCAGGAACGGAGAGCAGAAAACCACTGATACAGTAAGTTAGCATAGAGCTAACTCAGAGTAGCTGATGAGCAAAAATGGTGACCTAATCACGTTTGTAAAAAAGAACCTTTCGGCATGCTTGTTCTTGGGTTTGGCAGTCGAATTAAAAGGCAAAAGATGCCAAATGTACTTATTTGACTGCAGAGCCCCTTTTTTCCATTCCTTCTTGTCTTTGCACACAATCATTTCACTTTTACGACTTGTCCAGTTGTAAGGAAAACTGCTCAGCTTCAGCGAAGACATGATCTAAAATCTCTCATTCCCCCTTTGTCTGAGGTTGTTAACTGTTCATATCAGCCAACAATGGCTGCTCATTTTAGACAGAATCACCCCTTCTGCTTTTTTTTTCAAGAAGCCATTTTCAAAATCCTCATTGGCTTCTAAAACAAGTACGACACCTCCAAGCTTGCAGCCTTCACATTGTAAATAAAAAGTTATGACAAATGTTTGGATTGCACTTTGGGTCACTTGGCCACTCCAGTTTGCCAACTCAAAATCATGATTGGCTATCTGCCCTGTCAGAGGCATGGGTTATGTTCAAATCTTTTATTTGGGCTTGTGTTGCAACAGGCTGTGAGTAGCTTTCTTTGCATGTCAGTGTCTCACAGTTTATTTTTTGTTTGTACTTTAAATTGTAACTTTACACTTTTCATTCATGTGTTTGCACACACAAACTTCATGACACCCCTGCATAAGTCAGTGCCCCAGTTGAGCCACCCAAGTAAAAAGAAAAAGCCTGGATCGGCCCCTCTGCTAGAACACAATCTCTGTCTGTATCTGCAGTCACCTGAGCCTGTCGAAAAAAATGTCTCATTTGCAAAGAGCTTTATTTGCAAGCCTTTCTAGATGTTAGCTGTGTGCCTCTCAGTTGCTGTCAAAAAGAAAATGCATGAAATTAGAGAGTTTCTCTGAAAAGATTATTTAATGCACTGAGAGATGTATGCTGCACGCTCAACAGACCAGATACAACACCAGACCAGCTTTGGTGCTTTGAATCCAAAGCGCTGTCACTCCCCTGAGCAGCTAGCATAAGATAAGAAGTTGTTTTTTAAGTGTGAGCTGTCTTTTAACTCTGCACAGATGAGAAAGCCGAGGTGTGAATCCTGCCTCACGGGGGATTTCCATTCCACTTTTCTGACAAACAATATAAGGCGTCCCAGGAGAAGAGAAAAAAAAGGCAGCAAAGCAGACGCTGTGTTTCTCAGAGTTTAACCCTAAACAATCTAACACAGCCTTATCATCCTCGGCTGTTTGTTTGTGGCTGTTTGACAGTGTGTGCGTGTATGTGTGTGTGTGTGTGTGTGTGCGTGTGTAGGCTCAGGCGTTTGACAGCGATCAACTGACTGTCACGGACAGCTGTGGAGATATCATCAGACACCATCGTCAGGTGGCTGCCTCCTTGAAAGAAAAACTAAGGCTGGAGCTGACAGTCGTCTTTGGGGAATGGGCTGCAGGAAACTAAAATATTCTTCTTTCGACGCTCACTTTTGGGTCCAGGGAAAACAAACATTTCAACATTTTTCTCTGGAAGACCCAGATTTTAGGTCTTTATTTTTATCTTTTTTGCATACCGTGCAAAAAACACATCCTACAAAATGATTCTCCCAAGTAACATCTGAATCTGTCTTTCTACTTCCTTATTGTCTCTTTGTCTTAACCCTTCACTGTATTAACCCTGTGATGAATGCAGGGCATCACTGTAGGATGAGTGTAATGGGCTTCTATAGGAAAATGAGTGAGAAATTACCTCAATGTGTACGCCCAGTTCACCCGGGGTCTCAGAGCAATTCTCTCCTGTATGTGTGATTATTCTGCTATCCAGTGTCCTCGCTGCATGTGTGTGTGTGTGTGTGTGTGTGTGTAGGAGTGTGTGGGAGGGAGGGGGGCTGCCTGCCTGCAATTACAACCCATTAGCCCCTGATTGATAGCTTCTCTGAGGGCTAATGCATCACTATCGCAGAAAATAAGATAAAAGAGAAAATGACAATAAATGAATAAAACGCCACTTCTTATTACTCAAATCTCTGACCTATTTGCGTCATTTCAGTGACTAATGCAGTTTTTATCCACAGAAATAACAAATGACTGCATAGGTGCATAACGGAGCGATACATGAATCTGCTGAATGCTATAAGCAGAAACATATCATCCTGTCTCAGGTGCTAGTTGGAGGTTATGCTTTTCTTATTTCTACATAGAGTGAGATTAGAGAAGTTTTTACTGTGTTTTTACTGTAGATACAATCTGTGGTTTAACTGTAAGACAAAAATGTGTGCGTGTGAATTTGTCCTTTGTGTGTTGCAACCTCATCCACCGTATCACAGGCTCCACGAGAAAGTCGCTATCAGTAACTTATGGAAAACTCTCAAGCTTTTGTGGAGTCTCTTTGTGTTGCAGTCGTCCTCTGCTCTATCAGGTCTTACGCTATACGGTTGTCACTATATCAGAATTTTAAATGTAAATATGATTCTAGTAAAATTCAAATGATATTGTAACCTGTTGCGATACCACAGCAAAAAAAAGAAGTCCCAGTAGGCGCCCAATAGTGGGTTATTACTTGTTTTTATTTATCAGAAATTGCAGACAAACTCCTGCTCGCTGACTGCCCCTGCAATCCACCCGGTCTGGTTGTTCACACATGCAACTCACTTTGACAACGAGGCTGGACTGTGGCAGATGCAGGGGCTGTTTTTTAGTCCCAGTCCATCGCTTATGTGTACCCCCCCCCCCCGCACCCTCCAATATCTCCCCTTGTTGAGTTATAGCCGTCCTCTCTCTCCCCCCTCCTCCTCCTCCTCGATCCTCTCTTCCCTGACAGAGTGACACGTGTGGGGCCCGGCACTCTCCTGTCGTGAGGCCTGCATTGATGGCCGGGTTATTGCCCCCCTAATTATCAATTACAGGGCTGTGCTTCCACACCTGGAGCAGGCCAGGCTGGGAATGAGCTTAGCCCATTAGGAGGGACCTCCGGCTGGGCTGTTTATGGAGGGGGCTGGGCCCTACGCTCTGGAGGTGTTAATGGACCTTTCAGGGTTGTAGTCAGCAGGCGAATCCATCACAGTGCCCGATAACGGAACAAGCCTCATGCTCATGTCAGATGTAATGTTACATTCGGAGGCTTTAAATATTTTTGTATTTGCCATGAACTTCAAGAATTCTTTTGGAAATAGTAGTCAGTCAAATTATTGAAAAAAATATGTGTTGCATTATTTCACAAGAGATGCAACCAATGTGACTCATTAAAGGAAAGGTTTTCTGTAGGGCTTGAGCTGCTCTCTAAAGATTTGAATGACAGTTCTAACCTGGCCTCGTCTCAGAGACTACAGCTTGTTGTCAGGCTGTCTCATGAATAAGAGTGTTTCACTGTAAGGAAGGATATAACAACATCACATGACACTATTGAGTTGCAATTTGAAGCATCAACCACAGAAAGGAAAAAGATATCGAAATGTCTGAGACATAAAATAAATGTTAAAAACATAAAAGGGCTGAATCCACATATCTTCTGCATTAAAAATAAATTAATAAATGATAAAACAACTCTTCGTGTAGGGATGCTGTCAGCCCCATAAACCCAACATGTTGTGAACACCTGCACACACAGTTTCCAGTGGATTCTATTAAACACCAGCTTTGCTTTAAAAAAACAAACGGAAGATTTATTTTTAAGTTTGCATTTTTTGATTTTAATGCCAACTTCATTTTTATCTATATTTTGTACTTGGAGAATTCTGAAAACGTACTGTTTGATGTGCACTCTGCCTTTAAGGGCAACCATTGGTTACGGTTGGCGGGGTGATATTATTTTAAGACAAGTGAGGTGACAAATGGTCAATGCTCCGTCTGAGTCTGTGTACTTCTACATTACGACACAAATATTGAACATGTACCA